TGACCTCAAGTAACACTTTATGAGGATGGAATTTTATTTTAAGGTTAAGTCTTAAGGCATTCTTTCAGTATGAACCATACTGTCTTAGAGTGAACAACAGATAATTATTTTCCTTCGGTCTCTTATCAGCACCAAATATAAGAAACTATGATCTAGTGTCAAGGTGGTTTTCTAGCAAGAACAATCTAGGGTAACTTTCCTACGGAGAAGAACGTAGAAAGTAGGTTGGAAATAAAAGAGACATTCTGCATTGTTATTATTTTCCCTTCAGAGCACCTTTTAATGTAGCATCCCACACCAGCCTTCCCAGCGCAGCGTCCCCTCCCTGGTGGGGTCAGTGCCGTGGGACGCAGCCGGTGGTACCTCCGCTGTCGGAGCTCCGCCGCAGGGTCCCAGCCAGGGGCGTGCTGTGGGGCAGAGCAGGGGCTGCCCCGGTGGCAGGTTAGCGCTGAGGATGCTGAACCACCCTCCCCTGGCCGCCTCTCATTGTACGTCCCCTCCACGCCTGCGCCCTGCCCCCCGCAGTCCCCCCCGCCCCGGCCCTGTTGGGGACCACCGGGTGCGGAAGCCTTCGTTCTCCGTCACTGACAGGCATATTCACATTGTTCTGGTGTTCCCCACATTCGGGACCCCATCTTCCTGTCCTGGCAGAACAGGATCTGCGGGGCTCGCTCGCTCCCTGGCAGGGCTTTTGTGTGGCACTGGGGAGGAAACCGTAAAAGCCGCGTTGTCAAACTTCCACTCTTGGGAGGGTTTTCAGGCTTTTTCTCTGCTACCCTTCACTACTTTCTTGGAGGAGGGTGTCCCTTCAACTCCAGCTGCCACTTCCAAAAATCACAATCACCTCTAATCACAATCACCTCTACCCTTCTGAGTAGGAAGGAGCGAAGTTGTGCTCTCCCAGTTGAGAATTTACACCTTAAAGAGCAAATCTGTTGCGTCCAGTCTGGTCGTCCCTTCCCGCCCCTTGAAGAACAGCATCCCTCCTGTCCTCCAGCGCCCGGCTTTAGCCTTGGGAAAGGCAGCCTTCCTAAGGGCCGTCACGAAGCTCTTTACCCCCCCGCCCAGAGGCAAGGCCGGGGTGTGTGTGTGTGTGTGTGTGTGTGTGTCTCCGAGGCTGCTGGGACTTTTTTGCAAGATTTCAGTTAATCACTCACAATAAACAGCTTCCTATCTCATGAGGGAAAACAGCGGCCATATAGATAGACGAGTATTTTAACATTTTAAGCTATTTTGTCCTAGAGACTGAAGTCTCTGAGCCTGACTGAGAGCCACTCTCATCACCGTGGGTTTGTATTGCTGAGGAAACGCAGCACAACATAAACGTGTTTTGCTGTGCAGTTTTATAGAAAATTGCCTGCAGCTCGACAGTAATCATCTGCACACCCGCACCCCCTGAAAGCAGAGGTAATGCGTTCAAAAGTATAATATTTGCAAGAGAGAGGAGATGGTGCTCCCTTGGGTGCAATTTCAGGAGAAGCCTTGCATTCCGCACTTCTCGAGGTCTGTTTTAGCCGCACAGGTTTAATGCTACAAGAGCTTTTTTTTTTTTTTTTTTTTTGGCTATGGAGTCACAAGCACAGCGTAAAATTTTGCTGCCACGAATCATGACCCTTCCCGCTTTGAACAAGGGGGAAGGATACAAGTGGAGTAGACCGGTGATTAAACGAGAGCCTATGCAATTCTTGCATGACACTCCGTGTGCTCACTGAAGTCAGTTACTGAGCTAGATCGGTTTGTAGGAGGATGGCAACAGCTGGAGTTGCATTAAGGCGTGTTTCTCCCACAGTGCAGCAGCCCGGTTAGAATATCCATAAGCACGGAGCCCTCTGGACGTCCTGGATGGGGGACAAGCACTCAGGGTGCCTGGGAGCGATTGTGCGCCTCTCAGCTCCCACACCCGGGCAGGTACTGACTGACTCGCTGCTGTGTTTTCTCGGCCCGAGGAGGCACAACGATCTCCTTTGCAGCCTTTCGGGCTCTTGAGCTACTGGGCTTTAAACTTGCCGCCCGGTCAGAGGAAGTCGGATGAAGGCAGCAGAGGAACGGGGAAGGGACCTTCGCTCTCCGCCAGCCCACCGGTTACAGGGCGACAGCGCTGCCCAGCGTAGCCCCGTCCTTCGGCTTCGGCTCTGCGGCAAAACATCGCCGCGCCCACGAGGAGCTTCCCACGGGAGACGTGCTGCACAGCACCCAGGGCTCCTGCCGGGGGCCGGGCTCTGCCCGCATCCGGGGGCTCCGGCTGGCCGCGGGGCCGGCACATGCGGTGGGACCTCCTCGCTCCCTCCACGCCCTGCTGCGGCGGAGACGAGGGGCGGGGGGGAGGGGCCAGAGAGCCGTGAGGACGGATTCGCTACGGGAAAGAGGGTCTTGGAGAAAGCCTCCTGACATCACCCAAGGATCTCCGTTAGCTGCGGCTGCCACGTAAATACTGGTACCTGGGATCGCAGAAGGTTCGGTGTGAAAGCATTTTTCCCCTAGACATGAAGGAATATCAGCAGGCAGTGGATGCTGAGAAACCAAAATTGCACTGCCGGGCATTCTGCAGAAAAAGAATCTCTGTTTTTTTTGGCACATGAACAAAACCCTTGGCAATAACTGCTCCGGCAGGAAGGGGAGCTGGACCTGCCAGCCCTGTCCTCACCGAGGACGGCTGGCGGAGCGCGACGTGGGCGACCCACGCACTCAGCGGGAGTTGCACCCCTGCTGCAGGATGGCGGGGAGAAGCCTCTCAGCGGCTCGCAAACCGATACCGCGTCGGTAAGAGATGGCAGCTACTCATGCCAAAGGGAAGCCTCGGCGGGTGACACAGGATCCACTCTAGGGGAAGTGGTCCAGTAAGAGCCGAGGAGAGCCAGGTGAGTCACATCAGGGACAAGGAGCTTCTTCATATAAGTGTTACTACTGACGAGCAACGTATTCTGACCAGGAACAGATCCTTTGGTTTTCGCTTTAGCGGTTGAGATCTTGCAAGATGCAATGAGGTTTTTTGTAGATGACGAGAGGAGGTGAGCTCCCTGCTTGACCATGCTTTTGGGGCTTTCCTTCCCCCCACCGAGCAGAAACCGGCATTTAATTTTACAATACAGGTAATTGCCTTAGATGTCTACTGTAAGCAAACAGATTTCAACCTTGGCCGCACTTTATCGATCCTAAAGAAAAACAGGAAATAGAAACGCCTGAAGCCCCGCTTCAGAGCCTACGCTAATGTTTTAAACTTCCCTTTCAAATAACCGAGCAGTACATGACTTGGCAGAGCACACCTAACGCGAGGCACGGCCGCACGGGAGGTCTTGCAGCAGCTGATCGCCTTAGCAGTGTAACACGGGGGAAGCGGATGTTATTTGTTTCCCCCTGAAGAGTATAAATCTGCAGCGATCAAAGCTGCGCAGCTGAAACACTACCGGGCTGCCAAAGGCGCTCGATTCCCAGGGAGCCGGCAGCGCTCGGGAGCAGCAGGCGGAGGAGCAGCGCTCACTAGCGGCCGCCGCTCCCGGTCCGCTCCCCAGACGAAGATAAGGGGAAAGACGCGCCCGCCCCTTTCTCCTCAGAACGGCTCTGCTCGCATATACCCCACACAAGTTTTCATACAGCTCATCCACAGGGCTGTTCCCTAAGCAGGACAGAGTAGTCACTGGCCAGTCCAGAGAGCCGCGGGAAGGGGGCTGCAGTCAGCCCGACCCTTCCAGCCTGCAGCGGCCGGGCCGGCAGAGATGAGGCCAAGAAGGCATCAGCAGAAGAAAAATAACAACATTGGGTACCTATTGCGTCTTATGTTTAGCTGTGGTTTGAGATACTTCGACATTCAGTACAGCACACACTTATATTACTAATCAGCACTCTCAGAAAATGAAGCTTAGGAGGATAAATACATAACCATCATAGAGATCAAACAAAGAGCCTTAGATCCCAGTCACAGCTCAACAGACCTCCAGACATGCAATGCCAACACCCGCACATTATTTTTATAGTTTAAAAAAAGTAGATAGGAACTAATCAGGCAGGTTTGCAGCTTGCCTACATTCTGATTAATTTCTAATGTTTCTTAAGGATTTGGTACCCTTGAGATGTCACACAGCTTCTAACACTTCTTACCCTAATAAAGCAGGTCACCATTTTCCCAAAGGATTGAAGACAGCTGAACCCCTCACAGAACAGTGGTTTGAATCAGTATCAGTGGAGGATTTCACTGTGAACTTTATGCTAATTTAGAATTAGCACAATACCAAATAAAGCAAAACGGTTTTTATAATCAATTTAATTTGATGCAATTTAAAGAGAAAGAAGTGTTGAATGGCACAGCTAATAAAGTCTACTTTTCAAGGTGGTCACTACATTCCCTTCTTGTCTCATACACACCCAAAGTAATGCAGTATTGTCCTCAGAGGAGTTGGTTGACCATCACAAACAATTCCCACACATTACTGCAATTACTGCAAGCTTGATTCAGGAAACAGAGGAAAAGAAGCTAACCCTGGTGTTCCATCTTTAGAGGAAAAAATTATTACATACAAATACTCCATGTCCTGCTAAAGTATTTATAAACATGGGAGCTCTAAGATGCTTGGAATGTCAGTGAGAGGAGGAGAAAAAGTATAAAATATTTATTCCTCTAAGCATTTCAAAAACCTTAGGATCTTAAAGTTTATTACTGTTTGTGATTTGCATACATAATAAATGCTACATACGCTAAGTCTGAATTGCCTTGTGTTTCCTATGCAACTCTGGGTTGGCAAGGTTGAACATTTTATTCCTCCTTGAGGAAGCAAACCACCCCGCTGTGCTTCCTTATCCCCCAGGACAGAATCAAACACAATCAAGAGGAAAGCACTTCCTTTTCTCAAAGTACTCCTGTTTAGGGTAACTTTTTTGTTGTAGTTGTTTCCTTACAAAGCTTAATGACACAACCACAAGTGCTGCCTTGTATCCCCAAAAACATGGGTTCCTGAAAGGCAACTGATGAAACAGCCACGTTATGGAGCAATTAATTGTCAAACATATTTGAACAGTGTCCCAGAGCTGTATTATAGGAAAATGTGTTTCAAAAGAGAATTGCAAAACCAAAAGGACACAGATGAAAACTCAAAACTAGGATACAGGGGCAGCAGCATCAGGCACCCTACATACACAAATTCTCTGCCAGAAGGGAATTTAACAAAGAGGCAACAACAATGTCAAGCATGGATTCAGACACATAGCAAGATGTTGCTGCTGGAAAGAGGGTCCTGATAAGGTTCAGCCTCTGTCTAGCACAGGTATGAAACACAGCAGTGCATCTACAGTGCCAGCTACTGCTTCAGTGCTGGAGAAGAGAGGCAGAAGAGAAAGAAGATTCAGTAAAACTCACAGGCTTAAGAACACTGCTGAGCAAGCTTCAGTGTTACAGGGTTGTTTTGATGGTAGGGGTTTTTTTTGTCTTAAAAAGATAAGATAATTTAACTTAATAAGAGCAGATATACCCAATTAGTAATCCCAAACATAATAAATTAAATTAAAACATTGGTTTATATTTAGGCTCAACATTCAGAATGAATAATCAATGAGTTGTACATCCCTTCCAGCACTTTCGAAGAACTAAAACCAGTCCTTATTCACACTGTGAAACCAAAACATGTAGGAAGTGTTCATATACTGAGCAGTTATACAGAGCTTTAAAAACCTTCCAGAAGTAAGAGTAAAAATTTTTGTAGACACACACTTGCCTCCAAAATTAGCACATCTAAGGAACTTTGTCATTTTATATTGAACTAGATATATACATGTGTAAAATGCAGTATTTGACAGATTGTTTTCAACATAGTTCAGAGTAGATAGTCTTTAGCAACTATTCCCACTAAGAACAACTATAAATACAGATTCCCCTAATCCTTTCTCCAAAAGCCCTTCTAGTTTACTAAAGGAAGAGTAACAACATTGGTGCACCTTTTTAACGACTTCTGGGAGTAGTAAGCAAGACATTTGGAAGCATTTTTTATTTAAAAGAATTATTATCTGCTAGCATCAGAAGTCAAAATAAACAGAGTTCACTTAACATTGAAGCATACGGAGAATTGTGACAGGAGATATTATAAAATTTATCACCTTAAAATAAAGGAAAACAAATAAGCAAAACAGCATTCCCAAGTTTTATACCTATCTCATGCTTTACCCTAGAGCCCCAACATCCTTGGGCAGATGATAAAATCATATGGAAAACAAACAACACCACTCCGCAATATAAAAACTGAAATTCTCCAGAGCTCACCTGTGGTGGAAGGACTGAAAAGCTGAACTGTAAACAGCTGAAGTAAATAGAAACACCTGAACCACACTCTGGATCTCAGTACTTGCACACAAGCAAGAGCCATAGTTTTTCAGAGTTATAACTTTTGCACTTCCTATGTTAATGTGACCTTTCTTCCTAGCCAGCATTTAGCATACTGGGAGTACCAATGGTTCTTTAAGTCCTATAGTACACCTTTCCAAATTAAGATGTACTTAAACTGGCCTTATTTAAGAGTCCTTCATTTTTATAGTGATAAAAATCAGGAAAAAACCTAACCAACTAAAAAAACCACAACTACTGTGACACATACTCATGCGAAATATTAAGGCCAAGTTACTTTCACACTTTGGTCAGAATCAAAAGCCGAGGAAACTCAGTTCACAGGAATATTGTTGAATATGTCTTTAAATAAGGCATTCATGGATACATGTGTGTGGGGAAGCTTGGTTCTTTGGGAACAAAAGGTACAAATATTTTTCAAAATTGAGATCATATTAGAAAGTAAGCAATAAGGACTAAACATATTTTTTTTCTCAGCCTAACCAAACCAATTTGGCTCAAATCCAGAACAGAAAGACAAAGGTCCAGGGAAATCCCACTCAAGCATAATAAATAAGATTGATAAATACCTTTGCTAGGCACAGAAACATCCAGGCAGAGACAAACATTGGGTAGGGATAGTACCTGGCACACAGACTGAGATGAGCCGCACACCTCTGCCCCCTCCTCAGCCAACTATATTTCACAGGAGCACAAACAATAAGCCCATATGGTTTAGGCATAAACCATTTTAGCTCTTAGTGACAGAGAACTTATTGCCCAAATAATTTTTTCCTCCTCACTCTCACTCCTTTTGTTTTTACTTACATACCATCTTCAAAAGAAAAAGCCCTCCTTTTTAATAAAGGAAAGGAAAAGTCAGCTTGTTTACGTAGAAGGTTTGTTTTGTTTTAAACAGTTATCCTTTATAGCTACAACTTCAATACCTATTAGTCAGGAATATCAGTGAACTCGAAACATTAATCGCATAAAAGTTTACTTCTAATACAAAACAGCAAGATCCAGTCTACTTAACTTCCAAAACACCTGCACTCCTTAAATACCCACATTCAACTAAAATTAATAGAAAAACATTCTTACCTTCTTCTTTGAAGAAAAATAATGAGCTACACAGAGCAACTGTGACTGGGGTTCTTTGTTCCATAGGGTACAAAGAATCTTCCTTGCTAGGAAACCCTTAAATAAAACCTGGAGCTGGCCTGGACAGCAACTGCACAAGGCACCACAGAGCGGGACCTATAGAGTAGCTGCTGTATTTCTAAAGCTGAACTGCAACTGCTTGTTGCACCTTCTCAACACAACCCTAATGCTGCAGCACGTGACTGGGGCTGTAAAAGCAGTTAATTACTTTCCTGCTTCTTTAACTGATTGACTAATGAGCACTATAATCAGTAAACTATTTATACATCGAAACAAGGACACCTGAGTTTTCTGGGTTTTCTCACTCATTTGGTGAGCTTTTCTGTTTAAAGAGCAAATGCATGGTATTTTGAATTTTAATCGGTACTTCCAGTAACACTGTATAACAAACACATTCAAAAATTAATTTCTCTTTTCGCAAAGGGAGAGGAACACAGAAATTCTTATCTTGTTCAGTGAAGATTCCCTGCTAGCACTCCAGCTCACACTATTCTGTCAAAAATCCAGGATCAAACAATTGTCTAAGATTCTTTTTGCTCTTCTGGATTCACACAAAAAACCCCCCACATGGGTATATGCCACACTATTTATTCATCTGAATTCTCATACTGATCTTTCAGAGTGACAGTGAAGTACAACATAAGCCAAATTCAACTGTTCCTTTGTAGCATAAGGAATTTTATAAAACTCTAATGCTAATTAAACAAGTAGCTGCTTTCTGCACCAGTTCATAGAGCAGATCAGCCTTACCCGTGGACAATCAGAGGTATCATCACTACCAGATCATCTGAGCTACTTGGACAAAATAAACATTAAAATTTTGCCTTCTTGTTCCAACATATACAATATTTTCAACTCTTCCAATACAGTACAGAACAAAACCCAGGAAGCACACCAGAAGCTATTTTCAAATGGATACTTTTTTTTTTACTCAAAGGCTTAATAACTGACTTCAAGCCATTCAAAAAACACCATATTCAAGAACCATTTTTCCTTTTTTAGACTCAATCCATCTCCTCATCAATGACATGCTTTCACTAAGAAGTAGAAATCAGTTTCCAAATTTTTAATTATAGTTGGAAAAAGATTACAAAATACAAAATTTTATCGTACTTGGGGCTACAGAAATGTATTACCTCCATTTTTCCATTTCCTTCAAATTTGAGAAAAAGTAAGAAGCAAACAAATGATAACAAAACCTAATAGATGTATGAACTAGTTCCATCAATAAAGCTTGAAAATTCAGAAAGGATTTCACCAAATAAATGTCAGTGGCTGAACCTGGCAGAGGCCATTCCCCACAGAAGTGCTGCATTCCTAGAATGAACTAATGCTTTTCAGTAACACAGAAAGTCAGTCACCCGGGCAAAGTGGGACTTAGAAGAGACCAAGGATTAGCATCTCTGAACTCTGGAGTCAGCTAAAGCCTTTTGGATCCTCTGTTAATTCAGAGCTCATCATGTTTTGCAGGGTCCATACTGGGTTTGATGAAGACTCCCTCCATTGCTTTCCAATAGTTGTGATGATTAGCAGCAAGCATGCCATGGACTTCCCGCTGGCCTCTAATAGGGTGGCCGTACTGTTCTCCTGTTATCGACAGGAACACCTCGGTCCCCACATGCTTGAAGCGCACTGCGTCATCCCGTTCCCAGTAAGTCCCACTGCACTGCACAATCCAGATATCCAGGTCATCTCCTTCGCCATCATCACCAAAGGCACTTACTTCCTGTTAGAGAAACAAACTCCCTGGAGTGAAAATGTAAGCAGACATCTCCAATACACACGAATACCAACTACAAAGTCAGCTGAGTTTAAAGACAAGGATGGGGAAAGAAAAATTGCTGTTGCTTTGCTTTGCCAACAGTTACTAAATTCAGAAGCAGAAGTTTCTACCACTACAATCTGATCACAAATTGCCAACAAACTTCACCATTCAATCTGAGCAAAAAGTGGCAATGAATCCTAACACACAAATGAAATAAAAGAGGACTTAGCACAGAGAGATCAGAACAACCCTCCTGAGAAAAAAAAATTCAAAACAAACAACTCTAATGCTGATACAAATTTTCTCCCCACAAAATTAAGTTTGTAACTGTAGACATTTAGCTTTGTAATATGACTGTCTTCATAGTTACCATTGCAACAGCTTTCTCAGCATGTGTTTTTATCACAACATCCCAACAGTGTAGCTCATGAAGTCTCATATTCCCTTTATACTTAATTATACCAAGCTTACAGCTGGGTCACCAACTATTAAGATTTACACTCTTTCTTCAGGCAGACTGCTACACAGCTCTTTAAAATAAAGACAATGGTTAAGACAAATCAATTGTTGCTAAAATGAAAATGAGAGATTAGATTTCATTATACACCATATAAAACAAAAAATAAGCATTTACAGAAACCAGACAGATAAGCTCCAACTGTTTGAGACTCTAAACAGCCTTTAATTCTTAAAAACTCTGAGAACTAGAAGTGATGAACAACTTGAAAATAGAACAGCAGTAGTTTGTACCCAGCAACCTAAAATTTTAGGGTCATGTTAATTCAAGTTTATGTAGCCCCAAAAGTGTGAAAGATAATGTACTAATTGAAAATCCAACTTCTGTTAAAAATATGAAATAAAACTTTGCATTTATAACTGCATCACATTTTAATAACCTTAATGACCAGTAATAAGTCACGGTCCTGTAAATCTCTCAGGGACTCAGCCAAGCCATCCTTTCACTCAGACATTGTGCAAACACATATTTAAAAAAAAAAAAAAAAAAAAAAACCCACAATGACAGTTGCTGAACGTTTTTACATTAATTACAATGTTATACGAAGTGTCTACAATGACAAAGAAAAACTAGGGGAAGATTTTAGATTCAAACTTTCCTTTAAACAATTCTTCTGAAATGCTATTTTTCCATCACTTCTTTTAATAATGAGATAATCTAGACACCCTACACAAAGTTGGACCTTATTGTTTCAGCCACTTTACTCATGGTGAAAGATAAACCTTTTTCACAAAGAGTCAGTCAGGTCTTCCAATTTTGAATGTAATGACCTATCTACAAAGCCTGATGGAAGACTGCAGCGACTAACAATGACAAACTTCCAACAAGCTTGCATCGTTTATTTTTAAGACAGATTTTCAATCTTGGAGAAGCATTTGCTCAAGGACAAGACCGGAACCTAATGACAGTTAGAAATTACACTCTTCTAGATATATACAAAATTATAAAGAAATACGATTATGAGAGCAGATTCAATTTTCCTGTGGAAGGAGGACAGAAACATAAGAATAGTGAACTGAAGTAGGGCCAGCAAGAAGATGGTTGAGACTACTAGATTGGATCACCAAGGAACTTGGTGACCTTGGGTACAGGAATGCCTAGTGTTATAACACATGGTTAGCTGCCTTGCTCTAGAGCAATCTTCACTGTGTTGAGGGAGGTGCCCTGTCTCCTGCACCTTGAAAACGTTAAACATTTCAGAATGGTCCCAGTAGCAATGGTGCAGAATTAAAATGAACAAATGAAGAAACAAACAAACAAAAACCCCCAAACCAAAACAAAACCCCCAAAACCCCCACTACGATTTGTTAAAACTACTGTGAAATACCAATATTGGTACGTATTAAATTTGACCTGAAGAACTGAAATACATATTTCAAGATGAAGAAAAGCACGTATTCGAACTCTGGATATGCATAGACATACTGCTTCTGGCAGCTGGCACCCAAGGCTGGTTCTTCAAAAACATGAGGAACTGGAGAGACTGTTGACAATACACTGCACTATTTATAAAAAAATTAAAGTTTACAACTCACTTGGTTATTGGAGAGTGGTGATGGGAAGTGATGAGTGTGCAGGTTTTTCCCTGTGTTAACGTGGGTCAGTCGTATTGCTTGCCCACATTTCACCGGTATACCACGCTGGCAACTGCCATCACTCTTCCCACGGATCCGCCAGTAACTGTTGGCATCATCTGAAGCTTCAACTCCTGTCACTGACTGCTGCCCACTTCCTGTTGAAGTAGAATTAAATGGCAGGAGACTTAACCCACTTCCCAAGTTCAGAAAGTTTTGAAAGACCTAAAGAAATTTTCTTTAATGTTCTCATGCCTTCATGTATAAAAAATGTTTAATTCTCATAGTCCATTTACTGACTGCAAAGGGAATGCAAGTACCAAATAATGTTTCAGATTGAGGGAGTCAAATACACCATGTGTTAGCAGATGCAAACTGTCGAAGTTTATGGCGAACACATGAGGAGAAAAACTGATCCATGATGTACACTATTCACATCATCTCGCTTTTCTTCTTCACCAAGTTCTTAGTGTCTCCAAACAGACCAGCACCCTTGTTGCCAAAAGAGACACGGGAAGGTCCTTGACACAGAGCAGGGCTCCCCTCAGGAATGGGGGCAAAGCACCCCTGTCACATCCCGACTGCAGGGCACACACAGCGCAGCTGACAGGTCCTACACCCCAGGCCTCAGCATCCTGCTGTCCCTGACAGGTCTCCAGCGCACTCCAACACCGCATCCCTGGTCTGCTGCTTCCCCCAAGGACATGAACCTCTGGAAGCTCTCACCTCCTTCTCCTTCCCTGCTACCCTCACTGCCCATCCCCCGCAATTTCCCTGCCAATCCCCTGCCAGGCATTCCCTGTCTCCCCCACCTCCTTGCCCCGCTCACAGACACCTCTTTGCACCCAGCCATTTTCCTGGCCCCCCCACAGCCTATGCCCCCAATACCTCCCAGTTCCCGACACCTCCCGGCCCGGCCCTGCTCACCGGAGCCATACTTGACCTCGTGCGAGTGGAGCCGCACGCTGTGGCGGGTGTTGAGCAGCTTCAGCACCGAGCCGCAGGTCACGGCGCCGGGCGACGGCTCCCTGCCGTGGCACAGCCCGCGCAGCAGCGTCAGGAGCACCAGCGGAAAGAGATGGCGACCGCCCCGCATCGCGCCCTCAGCCCAGCCGGCACCGCAACCACAACCGCCACCCCTCGGCCGGTCCCGCCGCTCTCAACCCTAGGCCCGTCCGGTTCCAGCACCGCCGCCCCCTCAGAGCGCCGCTTCCGCACGCGCGGGCCCAGAGATCACCCCACCCACCGCCGCGATCAGCCAATCCCCGCCTGATTCCCGCTCTTTGGTGCTCTCGGATCGGGCTACGGCTAACGGACACGGGGAAGAGCGGCCAATGAGAGCCGTCGGCGTGGCGGTTCCCGGGGGAGGACGCGAAGGAGAACCGCGGGCGCTGCTCCCTCAGAACCCCCCTGAGACGGGCGGCCCGGAGGGGTGTCACCACCGGGGCATTGCTGATACGGCTGTGCTGCTCTCACTGTGAGTTTACCCTTGCCGAGAACAGGTCTGTTGCTGCTGTCCGCTCTGGGCTGTATGAAAAATAATATCCAGGTCACACTGACTGGTTGCTCAAAGGCCTTGCGGGAAAACGTACTGCAAGGAGGACTGTCCAGTTAGCATCAGAGCCAGGAGAAAAAAAGTGTCCTCACAGCGAGAGCACTGTGAGGCATAAAGCTGCTTGGGGGTCGCCAGCCCAAGTATAGGTAATGGTTTAGATACAGCGTTGGGCAGCCAGAGGTGGCACTAAGAGGTCAATCAGCCTGTGCTGCTGCGTTCAAGCCACTTTCAGTTCAGAGCTGGTAGGTGGCATATTTAGGACTGCTCCTCCCTACAGTTCCTGCTCTTAAAGTTGAGTAAATACCCATTTGGGAGATTTGCAGAGAAAAGTAAGATAGTGTTGAAAAACAGGGGATTCGTGTTTGTGAATTGACTTTCATGATAATACATCATTGATCCAGTAATTCCTGGATTATATTTGAGCTTCTGATGATAGGGCATAAACACTACACAAAGAAGAACTAATACTGGTTGCTGCAACATTAAGTTGTAGCAATAACATCTTTGCTTTTGGATCCTGAAGTTCACCTTCTGTGCTTCAGTCTCTTGCGGAGTTCTTCTAAAAAAAAGATTATTAAACTCTCTTCTGTAGAAAAAACACCTGCATAAATCAACATACATACTGCCCTTCATTGCATAGTTTTGCAAACTGAATAAATATTGCCGCCCCTGCCTTCCCCCAAAAAAATCTCAATAGGAAGTAGACGTGGACAAAGGACACATGAACTCCTCCATAGTTTGTTAGCTCTTGCCTCTTAAACTGCTTATTGGAATGACTCGTATCCCATCAGAGCCTGGTGTGAGTCCCGCATAACACTCTGAGGAATACAAAGTAATTTAACAGATCAAAAGATTTCGATCTTCTTAGTGGCAAGGCAACAGGTAGACGGGCGCCTGCCTTGGGACTTCAGTCTTGGTAACAGTGGTATTATGTGCCTGCAACAGCAAAGAATTGAAACACTACACTTTCTGTTGCAGGATGATTTAGAAAGCACATTAGTGTTGCTGGTTAGTGCAAACGTCATAAGATGCTCAGTTGACTTTCTCCCTCTTCCACTAGTCTTGGAGCTGCAAGGCTTTTTCCAATCCATGTGATACCATTCAATCGAATGGTTAGTTTTCTTTACGCTGGCTTTGTACCATTTTTTTAGCTATACCTACATCTCAGAAATATCTCTGACTTAAATGCCAGGTCTGCTTTAAAACAAGCCCTAGTACTTTTCTCAGGCCTGAAAACTCATTTCCTGGTGCTGGAAGTATAAAAGTTTACTCACAGAAAAGCAAAAGATCCCATGTTGATATTCAAATGCCATATTTTTATGTCATTCTAAGCGGCCTTGCTGTTCCAACTAAGACAACAGCTCACATTTGCTGCTCTTGTATAAGTGGGGCAAACTCAGATGTCTGTGGTTGCCATTTTAGCCATGGAAAATCAATCATATGGGGCTTTAGCTGGCACCTGTCTGTCTTTCTGGGAGGTCGCTCAGTCTCAGTGCATTTAGTGCCATTTACATGGTGCTCCCTACAACGCTTTTCAGTCCTACTTTAGAAATATAATTGGGTTAGAACGGTTGCCAACAAAGAACCCGTCAATGCCAAACACCCACGGCAATTAACAACCACCTCATTGTGACAGGGCCCACTATTGTTTCCAGTAGACTGCTGTAAGATACAGGTAAAATTGCCACAGAAATTATGTGACTGCATACTGGTCATGGAAATATCAGCTTTTTTGATAGGAATCTCATTATGAACAAAATAATTCAACAGTGCTGCAAAAGGAGAGAATGCAAATGTAACTAGAAAACCTTCTACCTTCAGTCACAACTCTGCAGTCCTTATGCACATTTGATTTTGAAGGATTTTGAAAATGTTTGCCATTTCTACTCAGGTGCAGCTGTAGGTATAACATGGCCCTCCCTGAAGAACAGGATTTGGTGCTGCCAAATGCTTTTAGCATACAGGAATGAAAAATCTGTGTCGCAAGAAAATTTCAGAGTATGCTGCCCCAATGCAACAGATTATAGAAAAGAGGGCTTTCCTTTTTATATTGGCCTTTCTTATGGATGCTTTAAACTTTCTGTTTGCTTTGCATGACAAAAACAGTGACTGACAACTAAGATGGCAGAGCTGGCAGCTCTTGGGCTTGATCTACACCCCAAAAAGCACTGGTGCATCTATTGGTATAGCCAGCCTTTGATTTAGAGAAAACACTGCAGTAACACCTGGATTCTTTCTCAGACTGACATGAACCGTAGGCAAAAAAGACAGGGCACAATTCTACAGACATTAGTACTTGATACAAAGACAAATCCACATGAGCTCTTCCACTGATTTTTCTCTCCATCTGGTCCTTTCTCTGATATCCATAAGAGGCAGTAAAAGTAAACATTCTGTGTTTTTCTTCTGTCTCCTTCTTTCACCCCACACTGATGAAGAGCTGTTTGTAAACCTCACTTCAGATCAAACATTCATCTCCACTGGAATACCTTACAGTAGAACTCTTTTAACTGTGACCCCTAAGCCTGATACAAATAGTGAACAGTAAATAAAAAAATTGCTTGCCAGAAATTTATAGAATTACAGTTCCTTATCACTCAGCATAAGTCGTTTAAGGACTAGATATCAAAATTAACTTGTTGAGATTTTTGCATTCAGTAGATATAATGTAAGAACAAGCATAGTAACTAAACAGAAGATTTTTGGAAAAAAAAAAAGTATTAACATATACGCATATACAATTGAAGATTTTTTTCATCTGGGGGAGAGGAGTTGAGGATTTTTTAACCTCTGTTTTTTGTTTCTAGTCTTTGAGGTAGAAAAATGTCCTTGAAAGTTCTTCAGAGTCTTGGCAATCTGTGTCCAGTAATGTCACCATCTCTCAACGAACTTAACTGATGCTTCAAGAGCATAGGATCTCCCCTGAGAACTCCAAAGGAATTAATGTGCATTTCCATTCAATCAGCTGAGGTTTTCCAGGTGCTTTCAGTGATGCTGGGAGACGACAACAATTCCTGTAAGTGATCTTCCAGATGAATTTACGTGTTACATTGCTGAGGCATTCCCAATGCTTTCATTGGTAGCACCAGCTTTTCTGGAGAAGGAATTCTTTTGAGATGACATGCTTCATGCTTCACTGAGTCTTCTACTCTCATGGTAGACTTCTGGGACTTTTGAAGACATTGGTTCTGTTTTTTGGTAGAGATATTTTGGCTAATGGGTTTCTTGATTAATTCCACTTTGCTAATACTCATTTTCTGATTAGGCAAAAATCTTTTTGTCTTCCACTTCTGATGTAAACTTTTGAAGTTCGTGAGAACTCTTCAGATTTTCTTACTTAATTTGTTCTGATGGTCTCATGCCATTGCCATTGAAGCCAAACATCATCTCAAGGTGTACCTTTATAACAGAAACAAACATAAACAAAAGATAATCTGAAAGTATTTTTCACAGATAAAAGTGTGTCTGACTGCAATTTCAACAGGAGATTCAACAGTCTTCTCGTGACTTCTGAAAAGCCTGTATGCTCCTAACTTAATTTTTTTTCCTTCCTCACTCCATCCCTTTAGGAATCAGAGTGCTTAGAGGTAGAGGTTGTGGTTTTACCAGCCACTGGAAAAAAAACCCAACCCAAACCATACAAAAAACCAAAACAAAACACTCCAAGAAATGATTAAAAATTTTATGCATTAATACTTTATATATAAAATATAGGTTTTTCTTCTTTTTTTTCCCTATCAGGAGGACCTGCCTCTGGTATCTTTAATTCACTTTAATGGCTCTTGATCAACATTTGTGAAAACCAGTTTCAGGCTTAACTCTGCTCTGCTTTAGACAGTGTAAATTGAAGCTGAGGAAGTTATTTAGAATTTTTTGGCATGGATTGGAATTGTGGTTTTGATTACTAAATTTCCATTTTAGAACCAGGATGTAAAAACGCAATGTGTGTTACGTCATGCAGCTTTTACAATAATTTAGTTCTTTATGGGATTTGAAAAACCTCTAGACATCTGTTTCAATCTTAGGTAAATATTAATGTAATTCTGAAAATTCCACTGAACATCTATGCACCTTGTATATAACCTGCCCCTTTCTGACCTCAATGAAAGTGTTATTCTGCCTAGAGATAATTTCCTCTAGGAACCTTTATCATAAATACCAAGAAATGAACTCCAGATAGTATAATAACTTTCAGAGACGGCCAACTGAAGTCCTGAGTTTCAATGCAATCAAACAGTAAATGGAATCAGAAAGTGTAGGTTAAGCTATTAATGCACACAGTTAAACAGTACCTATTTTAGACCCATCATTTAATTGTCTAGTAGAAGGGTTCCCTGTCCTAACTCTTTTTTGACCAGATGTCTGTATATTTAATAGACCTCAACATCAGGCAAAGAGACATCTGGAATAGGAATGTGCAGGCTTTACATCGTCTCAACCCCAGTCAGAAATCACAGATGCTGTAGCTTAGTTCATGTTCAAATTTAATTTTTACTGCACATTAGACACTGAAAGAAATGCAGCAGAGAGAAAATAACTCTCTGAAAATGGAAGAGTGGATTAAAATTCACCAGCCGTGAGCAATGCATAGACCAGGGACCTTCTGTCTGCATCAGGAGCAGTTTGAGTTTGGTACTTTTAACAGTCATCCATAGTTTAATGCCAAGTGTCAAGTTAGTTAATAGTAAGATCATGATGGCAAATTTTGCCTTTCACTTTCAGCCACCTTGGTAGGACCACACTCCTTGTAAGGTATTGGCATTATTTTGTGCTGGTGTAAAATCAGGAATTTCAGACAAAGGCAAGGAAAGGTGACAGGTACTGCCTGGCTGTGCTACGTGGTATGAGGGCAATCTTAGCTACAATCTTAGCAGATGTACCCCAGAATTTGGGAATTTAAACCCTCATGGATGCAAGATGGAGGAAGCCCATATATGCAGTGGATTCCAAGTCACAAGTAAGGGGAGTAACCACAAGATTTTTGGTGTGTTTATTCAGCATTATACAATTAGCCTTGAATCAATTCACTGCAATGCTCTTTGCTGCTTTCATCTCCCAGGGTTCAGCAGAGTGATTTTGGCCAGAACCTACATCCTTTGCCCTTTGAGAGCTTGGGCTGCCAATACACTTGGCATGCCCTGACACTGTGAACTCCTGGACTGCACAGTTGGAGGGGGAAAGGGAATATGCTTCTCTTCTCTGGGCTCATCTTTACCAACTGTGCTGGGGGGACTCTCTCTCTTAGCATAAAATGGCACCCAGGTGCCCATCTGGCCCCTGTAAGACTGAGGAAATCTGCTTTCACAGCATCACAGAGTCAATTAGGCTGGAAAAGACCTCTGAGATCACCAAATCCAACCTATGATCATGTGAACAAGACCATGGCACTAAGTGCCATGTCCAGTCTTTCCTTAAAAACCTCCAGCGATGGTGACTCCACCAACTTCCTGGGCAGTCCTTTCCAATGTCTAATGACCCTTTCTGTGAAGAAATTCTTCCTAATGTCCAACCTAAACCTCACCTGGCACAGCGTAGACTGTGTCCTCTTGTCCTGTCTCTGGTTGTGTGGGAGAAGAGGCCAACCCCCACCTGGCTACAACCTCCTTTGAGGTAGTTGTAGAGGGGATAACATCACCCCTGAGCCTCCTTTTCTCCAGGCTGAGCCGCCCCAGCTCCTTCAGCCTCTCCTCCTAACACTTGTGCTCCAGACCCTTCACCAGCTCCGTTGCCCTTCTCTGGACTCGCTCCACCACCTCAATGTCTTTCCCGAACTGAGGGGCTCAGAACTGGACACAGGATTTAAGCTTTGGCCTCACCAGTGCCAAGTACAGGGGGAGAATCACTTTTTCTCACCCAAGGCTCATCACATCTGTGCATTTTAGGAAATCTGCACACTGCAGCCCACTTCTCCTTGCAGTTACGTTTCATTACTTCAATTCAGGGTGGCTCAGCTCAGAGGCTGGAAACCACATAGTGTCCAAAATGGACACATGCCCCTACAGCACTCTGTGCGTCACTTACCTCAATCTCTGCCAAAGTCCACTCCTTTTCTTCTCCTTTATGCCCTACACGTCACCGCAGTGCCCTCCATCCCCTGCCCTGGCCAACTGACCAGTTGGTTTTGTACCTGATCATTTTGGGGAATGCAACGGCCTGTTGCAGGATCTCTGCCTCTGCTGCAGAGGAGTTGGACTTGGCCAAGGGATGCCACTGCTACCAAGAGGAGACAGAGATAGGCACTGACAGCATGAACACAAGTCTCTTGTTTCATCTGAAAACCGACCTCAGTGGAGGGATGAAAAAGATTTAATTTAAACATTTCTATAGAAGCCACTGAACTTCAAAGATTTTGTGAAACTCTGAGGCTAGAGAAAAGAAGAAAATGTTTAAATTCTTTCATTTAAAAATTGGATTTTACTTTGTCTCATTCAAACGCCTTTTACAGTTCACACTTTCAACAAAATTTCATGCAAGGAAAAAGCAAAACAAGTCCTACTATGCTACCACTGTAGTCCCAAATGAACTAATTCGCTGCAGAAAAAGAAAACACATCCTTTATGTAAACAGACAGCTTGTTGGAAGCAGTAATTGGTGGGGAACGCTTTATTAAAATACAGGAAACCTCTAAATTTGCTACTGCATAACTCCAAGTTCAGGGAAAGAAATTCAAGCTTAAAAGTAGTGAAGCACTTGAGGATAGAGAGAGCTTCTGCTGGCTTCTGTGACTAAGTAAGACTGTGTTTTGTTTTAGTTAGGCTGGAAGATGCGGCCTGTGCTTAGTACATGTCCTGGCTTTTGCAGCTCTACTGGAAATGCAGGCTAATATTCTTGTCTTCATTGCAAAGGAGAGAAAAGCCAGAGGAAGTCTGCCTTGCCTCCCAGCTCCAGGCTGAATTTGTAAGAGACTTTTTTATGCACTATGTGGCGATCAGCTGCAAGGGCTGTTTTGGCAGTAGCTGGAGTACATAGGCTGCAGGGGAAATGCTGTGTTGGCATCTGAGGGGCAATGGCACGGGGGCAAGATTTGCTTGCTGAGAAGTGTTTGCTTCCAGTCAGTGGAAGGACAGCTGGATAAATAGGAATGAAATCAGAAAAGGAAATCCTCCAGGAACTGCATTAAATATTTAAGAAGGATGTTACCATTAATAGCATTAAACATATACTAAGGTTAAGAAGGCTGAGAAGCCAAGCTTTGTCTAAGATTCTTATGTAGTGCCTCTCACCTGTGCAGGGGCAGGGAGCACTGGCAGTACTAGAAAGAGGTAGAAAAAACCCCCAGAGTTTGTATCTGCAAAGGCAGGAGGAACTTATATTTGATTCAAGACATACCTTCAGAGTTTTGCTGACTTCATCTGTTATAGTAACAGTGCTCATCCACCTAAACATGAGGAAGGACTTCCTTACTGTGTGAATGATCACACAGTGGAACAGGTTGACCTGAGAGGGTGTGGAGTCTTCCTCTCTGGAGATACTCAAGAACCATCGGGATGCAATTGTGTGCCATGTGCTCTGGGATGACCCTGCTTAAGTGGGGAAGTTGGACCAGACGACCCTCTCTGGTCCCTTCCAACTTGACACATTCTGTGGGGAGAGATGTCCGAAGCCTGCGCTGCCAAGAGAGCTGGAGGCACAGAGAGCGGCACGGGGCGACCCCCGGCCCTGCGGAAGAGCACCCCGGGCATGGGTCCTGCGGCAGCCCGACTGCAGCCATACCGTGCCCTGCCGTGCTGTGCCGCTGCCGCCAGAGGCCGCCGGCGGGGGGAACCTCGGTGCTCGTCGCGCTCGGAGGTGCTGGCGCTGCGGCGGGGCCGACCCGCGCTCGTCTCTCCGCGGGGGAGCTCCGGGTTGGGGCTGCCGCGGGGATGCGCGGCGGGCCGGGCGGGCACAGCTGGCGGCGGCACAGCTGGCAGCGGCCCTGGGACCGGGCTGCAGCGGAGGTACGCGCCACCCCGGGGGCGGGAGGGGGCCGGGGGACCTCGGTGCCCCTGCCGCGGCGGGAGGTAGGGCCCAGGCCGCCCGAGGCCGCTCCGCTCCGCTCTCCCCGGGGACACAGCCCGTAGCCGGGGATCGGTACCGGCGAGGACGTCACGGCTGCGGGGTGGCCTCAGGTGATCCGCACCCGTGGCCATTTCACTGCGCACCGGGGACGGGGGTGTGCCCGAGGAACGGAATTTGAACCCCTAACGCGCCCTCGGTCGATAAAATCATCCCACCGCGTCCCTGACCTTTCGCACGCTCCTCATCCCCGGCGGTACAAAGTGCAGGCAAGGCTTTCCTTCCGCAGGGGAGGGTAGGGCTGATGTGAGCCCGGCGGCCACACGCAGATCCGGCCACTGCGCTGCGAGCCAGCGGCGGGCTAAGGTGGAGCAGGAGGAGTTAGTCAGGGGCTGAGTCACCATTGGGTTCGCCCCCGGTGAGCTTGTCTTTTCCTGTTTGCCTGTGATCTGCAGACTGCCGAGTGTTCCGATTTAACCTCCTTTACTTTTTTTTGCTAGAGATGACATCTAAGGATGCTTCAGGTGAAGCTAATAATAACTGGAGATGACTTTGGCTATTGTCCTCGGAGAAACCAAGGCATCGTGGACTGTTTCCTGGCCGGTGCGATATCTAACGTGTCCCTTCTAGTCAACGGAAGTGCTGCAGCAGATGCAGCCAAGCTGGCAAAGAGGTAAGCTACTTTCTTTAGTTCCCTCGGGGACAACCTCCGCAGACTCCACGGGAAGCCAAGCCTGGAAAATTTAACATTTTGTAGCCCCAGAATAGATACTGTGTCATAGCTCAGGCTGGTGTAAGAAAACTGGATTCAGGCGCATTTACTAAAACTCTTCATAGTAAAGTCAGTGACCTGCAACTGCACTCATAATGGTCTTTGTCTGGTATTAGCCACCACACCTTTTTCCCTCCTCAGAACGGAAAGCCACTTATACAATTTGACTAGTAGAATTTGGATTTGCTAGACTTTTCCTTTCCACACTTCTGAAAGATACATCATCAGAAAGAAAGTGCACATTATACACTCAGCCCAATCTGCTACCGCTAAAACTATTAGAGCATAAAAGCACAAATCTTTAAATCTCATTTAATTTGATCCATTTCAGCCAGGATGAACACAAGGTCAGCTGGGCTCATTGCAGAATCAGGGAAAGGTGTGATTCTGCAAGGGCTTAGTTATAAACCTGGATAGTGGAAAACTTGATTTTTTTCCCCACCCCAGAAACCTTTTTGAGAAGCACATAAATATATCTATTAATTCTAGACTTGATATATAAATATTTTAAAACTGCAAAAAGAGAGGGATAATACCTTGTACTTACCACCCCTACTTCTTTGCGAGCTTCAGAGGTTGCTGGCACAGTTAGCTCTGCAGCAGATCAAATACTCTGTGGCAGCCTTGTGGAGTAGTCCAGCGAATCTTTTAATGGGAAGCATTACTTGTATTTAGGAGGGAAAACTCAGCTATTGCTTCAGCTCTGGTGTGGGCAGGCACTTGGAAACAGGAGTATGTCCTGAAGGAGAGAGCAACAGGGTTGAGAAACAATTTAAGGAAAGCAGAAAAGGAAAGGAGTTGTACTGGTACTAAACAAACCAAGGCTTTATGCTTCAAATGTAGCTGCTGCAGGGGACAGTTCCATGAGAGTCCTGCTGTCCTTGTTCTCCTTCAGCATCTCTCCTCAATTTGCTGTGGTTTTAGGGGTACTTGGATATTGCTTGTAGCTTCTTCAGTATAGGACGATGGAGAAAAGGCAGGGTGTGGTGTTAGTGACAGACTGGTCTGTTAAAAAGGCTAGAGATTCCACACAAACAGTGGGAGAGGAATTGCCTGGGGATGATAAGGGGAGGGGCACAACACTTAGGATTCCTAAAGTCCTGTTAGTAAATGAAACAAATGAAATGCAAAACACAGAGATAAAGCCAGCACTTCTCTCAGACACAGAGGCCCTGTGAAACCCTTTAAGCCCCAGTGGTCCGGTAATGTTGTCAGCTGTTTTAGCCATGGTCTTTAGAAGGCTTTTAAAATAGCATCCACCTGGCCTCATTTCATAGCCAGAAAGTAGGCCATGTAATCAGAGGTTTAAAAAGCATCTTTGAATCCAGGTCGTAACACTTGTGCTGACAGCTGATTTGGGTGTGAAAAGCCAGGTTGGAGAACAGATGAAAGAAGAAGCTGCAGCCTGCTGCTACAATTTAATTTTCTTTTTTGGGGGTAATTTTGAATTGTGGATGTGAATGAAATGGATTTAAATCTGTTTCTGAGCATACAGGCAGGGCTACTTTGGTAACATCTGCCAACCCTCAAAATCAGCAGCCCAGGTTCTGCAGTTCCTCATTTGTGTAACTCTCTGCAGCTGTACTCAGCTCTACCCAGGCATGGGGGGAGCATTTGAGCGTTTGCAGGTGGGGGGAAAAGGGTTCCTCATGTTCTAATGCAAGCCCAGCTTCAACTGATGCTTGTACACATTTGCTTAGTTGGCACCTGTGTGTGTAAATGAACTCCCGTGTCACCCCTGAGATATTTGTTCTTCTGTTGCAAAGGCTGATGCAAACTTTTTTTCTACACGAATGCCAAATGGGTCACACATACTAGAAATGTCATTGAATCCTCTTCATCTTATGGTGCAAAAATTGGAAAGCATCACTTTCTTGACCGTCTTGCCACTGTTATTCCCTCTTCCCCCTGCTTGGTGTCATTTTGCATCCCACTGTGAATTTTGAGGCTTTGTGTTTTAAGGGATGAAAGTTTTCCCCTATTCAGTCTTGATCAGTGGTGTAAGCAGGAAGAGTGGATCTATCACCAGCTGAGAGAAGAGGCTTGAAGCAAATAGCCTGTTCTTTCCTGGGACCTATTTCAGTGCTATGGAATTTGGTCTTTTGCACCAGAGTGCTAACGTGACATCATGCATGCGTGCAGGATTGTCAGAGTGATGGACTGCTTCTATGGCTTGTGGAGATCATCTGGGTGGTTCTTGATTAACTGTCTGTGACGTGGTGGCTTGCCACTGCAAGTCTTGAGCTGTCTTTCCTCACCTTGTTTTCAGGTAATTGGACACAGGCAAAGCTAATTAGTAGCAACACAACTTTTCCTCCCTAAGCACCTCGTGCTGCCCTGCTGAGTTAGGACTCAGCATCCTTCAGAAAGGAACACGGTTCCTCTGAAATTTAGTTCTAGTTTTCATTTTCATGATAATTCTGTAGGTTTCTGGGCATACCATCTGTTGCCCTGAGTTTTAATTAGAAGCCTTGGCAGAAACGTGATGATAATCATCAGATCTTAGCACCATCTCTAGCACAAACTAATTGCAGAACCTGCAGCAGAACCAAGTAGTAAAAAATACACCTTCCCTAACATCCAGACTTAAGATCTTGGGCTTTTCGCATTCACTATCACAACTGGGCTAAAAGAAGGGACCGGCTTGCTTCAGGCAACAGAGAAGTTTCAGCAGAGAGCTGATCCATTGCCAAATGGCAAACCTACTGATAGCAGGTGCCAGAGAAAAACAAAACTGGAACAGCAGGTGGGAGAACAGGCTACCGTTATGGATTAAAGTTTTTTTTCAGTAACTCAAAACTTTTCTCTTTGTGTGGCATTGACTGACTGTGAACTTCCTTGTTATCCATATAATATAATCTCAATTTTCTACTTAGCAAGCCCTATCTTGAAGTCAACCAGTCTTCTTGGTGATTATTCGAGAGCCTTTCCCAGAAATTGGGAATTTTTCCTTGGAAATACAGAGATAGAGACAGAGATAGAAAGATAGTTTGCTGCTATATCCTACTGGCCTCCCTCCTTTGTACCAAGCAGCTCAGTTGTCACTGAGCATTAGGACTCTTTTTCAGGTGATAATATCCAAATACTTGATGAAAAGTGAGATATTTTAGAACACAACCTCCGTCTCCCCAGGTGGATTTTTTGCAGTTTAAATGCTGAACATCAGCTACACAAAAGCTGAAACCCCCACAACATCTGGGTACATTTAACAGAAGAATCTAACAAACCACATTTAATTGCTCTTTTTGCTTTCACTTCCTTTCCCATCAACATTAATTGCAAAATGTGTGTGTAAATTGTGACTTAATTCTGACACTCCTAGTTAACGTCTGACTAATCTAGAAATCTCTCATGCTTTCTGATCATCCTTTTATGTGACTGTTAATCACACAGCAGACAACACCACTGCCGAACTGTTTGGATGGGAGCCCAATCCAAGGCCTTAAACTATAATTCCAGATCGTAATGACTTTACTGGCAACAGCAGTTTTTGCCTATGTAAGGTTACAGACACAGGAGCTTCACTTGATACAAAGATGTAGTTACAACAGAAACTGGTCCCTAAGCTATGTTACAGCACCAGTTCTTAACGCTGCAGAGGCTTTGGAGCATTTCTTGCAGCAGAAATAAGGCTTTAGCAGTATTAGAGCAAGAAAAGATGCTATTTGAGGAAAGAGAAATCTTACAGTTTGCTGAATGGTGGAAGTGTGTGTGTGTGAGGAATTATGCAAATGCCAACATGGAGAAACTAAGACTTGGACGTTTTTGCTCAAAGCACAGCCTTGCTTTGTCTGGCTTCAGTCACTCGGATGTTTAGTGAAGCAGGATGTCTAGGTACAGATACTTACATGAGATTCTAACTTGTGTTGCCCTTGGGCTGAAACCTGATGAACAGTAATTTCCTGGATGATACAAACATGATTTTGAAGGTGGGATCTGTTTACCCATCAAGGAAAAGGGTAAGTGCCATTGTTAAGCCAGGGCTTTCCACATTCAGCGAGTCAACTGGGACTGTTCTCAGTGAATCATATAATTCCCTCAGCCACTGCAACTGCTCCCAGGGACACAGAGACTGCACAGAGTCCCCTGCCATGGCCAGGCAGGACCTAGGATACTGTTACTCATCCACCAAACTCAGAAATGTGCAAAGCTGGTGGGCACTTGAAAGAGTGACTCAGTATAGTAACCATCTCCAGGGTGCCTTTACTGCTAAGGATGTGAATGAACAGGGATTGCAACTGCACAGAGCACTTTCCCTCAGCAGAGACTTTGTTCAGAGCACCCGTATGACAAAACAAGAAACTACTTGAAAAGGAAGCAGTTTAGCTGATTGTATTTCCTCTGTCTGATTACTGGACTGAGCTTGCTGACTCAGAAGTCTTTCCAGGGTAGATTCCTTCTTGCCCCTTGTAGTACTTGTAAGGGTATTTCCTTCTCCCTGCAACCCCCTCTTTTTTTCCTCCACCTCTACAAGGGATGGTGAGCAGACAATCACAGAGCCAGGCTGGTTTAACAGCCAAATTTGGGTGCAGATAAATCACTAGCAGAATAACCTCCGTGAGTGCTGAAGTCACTACCCTGAACCCCTTCTCAGCAAGCTCCCAGGCAGGCCAGTCTAATGCTGCTCATGCTGTAGGAGCCCACACTTGTAGACACTGTCCTTTGCCTTTGTCAGGAGTGAACTGAACCCCTGTGCTAAATCTGGCTTCACATCAGTGCATTCTCCAGAGCACTGGGATGGACTTGCAAACACGTGGACGTGGGCTTCTCCAAACAGATTGTGGAAGGGTCACTGCTGCTTAAAAAAACCACCAAAAAGAGCTTAGAAACACCAAGCAGATTGCTCAGCATCATTTTGTTTTGGCAGTGGTAGCTGTTACTGCATTGTTTTTATTGCAGAAACTAAACTGCTGCCTGAAGCCCAATGCCAACCCTTTTATTTTGGATCTTGTGTGAGCAGTTAGCAGTTAGACCTGCCCAGCAGTGACCAGCAGGGCTCACCCTGTCCCCTCTGGAAAGGGCTTAGGCAGAGTGGGTCTGAGGCCAAATGCACAACAGCTGAGCTCTGTTGCCAGGGCAGCATCACATGCCATATAAGCTACTTGAGTTGCTGGTCTCAGTATTTCAGCCAGTAAAATAACATATACTTTACAGCGTTTGAAAAGATATGGGCAACTATAAAGTGTGTTTGGGTAGCAGAAACAATCATCCGCACTCTGAAAAAGGGGCCCTTTCAGCATATTCCCACCACCTGACTTTTCTTTTTGCCTTTTTTACAATGCAGCCTGCCTTGGCATTGCCCTTGGGTTGCAGGAGCTGCGTTTCAGTAGTGAGAGGCGCTCAGCAGAGTTATTCCCTCGTGTAGATGTCTGTGGGGAGAAGAGCTGGCTTGCAAGAGAACTCTGCTGTACCGATTGCACTGTCCTCCTTCCCATAACCTCACAACCTTCCTAGCACTCCTGCTTCTGTGCAACTCTCACAGAGTAATATTTCTGATCAAGTTTCTCACATGCTGCTTTTTGAGTTTTGGTTTCAGTTCCTGTATCCCAGAGCCATTAAACACGAGCAATTCCTCTTTAGATGCCTCAACCTGGGCAGTCCGTCTAAACAGCCAGGACTAACTCCACAAGAAAACTATTAAGATATTCAGCTGGTGTTGGCCAAAGCTCTGAAACATGCTCTAGTGTTACAGTCAGGGTCTTCCCTTACAGCCAGGACAAGGCCAGCTCTCTCTGCACTTCCACATTCCACACATTCCCCAGCTCTGGGGCTGATTTTGACTCAGGCAATGAGCAGCTCTCATGCTCCCCAGTGCAGCACTTGGCTTCTCACTGTCCCACACCTGTTGGAGGGTCTTGCCTTCTGGAAATAACTTCCTTCACAGTATCTGAAGCACTGCACAATTGGAGGCCGTTCATTCAATGCTCCTGGGAGACAACACTAAAAGGATCAGCTGTCTATTTCTTACCCTCCCACAACACATGAGAAGGAGAGTACTCAACAAAAGAAGTTCATCTGCTGATTCATGGTAACACATGAATCCTTTTTTCTTGCAAGCAGCAGTGACTCTGGTACAAATAATGCTCCAGCTGATGCAGTTAGAGCTTCCCAAAGACGTGAAAAAGAGTCTGGGGTGGACTGTGGGGTGGACTTCTGAAAAAAAAACCAAAACAAAACCACAGGATCTCCCTTTGCCTTTGGGCTCATGCAAGGTGCCCAGCAGGTCACAGGATGCAGGGGAAGCCTGCCTCTCACAGCACCCCTTCTGTAGCTGCCTCCTGCCCAGCTGCCTGCCCAAGGGCCACACTCCCAATGACAGCACCTTCCACTTCTGTGGAGTTACTGTGCACGTGTCATGTGCTCAGGCCTCAGGTCTGAACACCAGAGGAATATTTATCATCAACAAAACGATCAGGCCCTGCTGCACAGAAATCACCAGGTTGGAAAAAACAGCAGAAACCCTTTTCCCCACAAGCTCTTTTGCTCCACTAAACAAACATTCAAGCTCCCTAGTCACACAGTGGACTGGAAAGACATAGACTCATTTTGTTCCATAGATCTGAGCATATAACTTGACTCTTAACATTTATGTCTTTCAGAAGTAGTATCTAGCAACTGACTGCACCATCTACTTGGAGCATGAGACTTTGGAAAGAGACTTTCTGCCCTGTGATGGTCAAAGCTTTAGTATCTGAAGGAGCTAAATGACTCTGACTTGCACCAATCCATCCATAATCCTGTCTCCAGTAACTTGCTGTTTTACCAGTCAGCTTCAGGGCAGCAGACAGAAGGGAAAGATCTGTTTTTTGCGCACTTTGCCTAAATGGAGATTGGTTTTTTTTCCTCCCTGTGGTACAAGGGCTGTACTAGGGACAGACCAATCCCAGTTTTAGCAGCCTCATGCAGAAGTTCCAAGAAGGATTTAAAGCATCACAGACTTGTTGTCTTGAAATTCACTCTTCACCATGACAGCTGGGGCAGCACAGATGGAATATTGCAATTTTGTCATGCACTTACTGGGTCAGCCAGAGGCCAGGGGTTGTCTTGGAAAAAGTTTCAAAGTATCATTCTGGCTACTGATTCTGAGGATTTGCAGAAATGCTAATGACACCCAGCACAAATCTGAGCACTCACAACTCCTGTTTTCACTGTAGGGTAATCCACAGCACAGACCAAGAAGGAAACACCATCACTCCTCTAAGCCCTGTGGCTGAGAGGGGCTCTGCAGCTATGCCAGCTCCAGAGTTTCATTTGTTTAAAAATTGTTTCAGAGTGCAACTAGTTAATGAATTCTACCCTTGTTCTTTCTTAGCAAGGCTCTACACTTCACTACGAGCCCCCTGCACTAATCCTTTGGCTGTGCCAGAGAGGTGTTGCTCTGTACAGCTCAGCCTTGTCACTCGCTGAGTGATCATCTGCACATCATCTGCATGTATGTCCGAGTACATAGGAACTGGGACACTGCAGGCAATTCCAGCTGCAGCCCCTTGGACCAGGAAACTCTTAAACTAAGACAGTATTTACACTTGTAGCCTGTGCTGTTGCCATGACAGCTGCCTTGGGCACTGTTTATATATATATGTATATATGTTGTAAATTAAAACTCAGATGTCTCAAATGTACCATCTTTGATAGGGTGAACAACTCAAGGGCATACCTGGAAGTGGCTAATGAAGTGCTTTAGAAAAGGATGCAAGGTCCAGATTTTTCTGTTGGTCACTGGTGACTGCAGTTACTAAGTGTAGTTACAACATTTAGCCCGGAGTACCTCATGATGTGTGAGCCAGGGTGGGAGCAGAGTTGGGAGGTCTCATAAACTGGCCCCTGGCAGACTGCACAGGGCTGTTATCTGGAGATACTCTGCTCCAGTTAGGGTCACTGTGCTTTTCTTTCTAGCAGAGCAGAAATACAAAGATGTGCTCCAGTGAGCACCTCAACACTTTTGAGATCAGTGTAGTTCTTTCACTGAAATCTTCTCCCCGCCCCCCCACCTTGGCCACATTAAGGGAGGTGCAAAGTTTAACAGGTATTTCATTCCTGTTACAGATACAGCATCCCAATAGGCCTTCATGCCAACCTTTCTGAGGGCTCCCCTGTGTGTGAGGTACTCAAGACAAACTCTTCTTTGCTCAACCAAGATGGATTCTTCCATGGAAAAATGGGATTCAGAACAGCTCTATCAAGAGGTCTCCTGAATATGTCAGAGGTAGGAGAAAGCCACATACAACCCTGCAACTTGCTTTCCTGGTAAAGCTCAGCCTGCACTTATCCCAACACATAACAGCTGAAGAAATTTCCCAGATCCCAGCTGTGAGTAAGCTTAGAGATGACTCTTGACTGTACTGCCTGTGCAGCTGGAGATGGCTTTCCAGGACATCGACCTCCTTCTGCCAAAGGCTCTGCAGCCTATGAGAACGCATTCCTCCCTATTTCAGTGCCTGCATACACTAATGTCCTGTTATCTGAGGGGGCAGAAGAGGCATTGGAACTGGTATTTACTAAAAAACCTAGAGAACACTAAAGGGCAAATGACAGAGTAGGCACTAGGCTTTTCATCTGCTTGTGACAGGCTTTTGTTCTCTAGGGAGTTTAGTGGTTTTGCCCCGTGAGCACGGACAAACATGTTCAGGTGATCAAAACTGCCTATAGGATATGAGCACCCATTTCCCCATTCACTTTAAAGGGAAATGGCTATTCAAATGCCCTAGGTATTTTAGAAAATCCCAGTATCGGCACCATCCCCATCAGCACCAGTACCACAAAGAGCCCCATGCCTGGGAGAGGCTCTGGGCAACCCAGCAGAGCTGCACATCCATTTAATTCATTTATAATCACAGCACTTGGTGTCTCCCAGGGGCTGGTCCCAACTTCTGGCCAGTGATGTCCTCAGCAGCCCCTCCACTCTCCTGCTCTCAGCTTCCTGACAGGTCTTGCTCTGTCCCTTCTCTGCGGCACAGGTGAAGCAGGAGCTAAAGGCCCAGGTGGAGCTGTTCCATGAGCTGACAGGTCACCTACCTCCTCACATGGATGGGCACCAGCATGTCCACGTCCTCCCAGGTGAGAAGGAAATCCTCCTCTTCCCAGTGCCAAGCAGGTGAGGGAGTCAGAGTCACTCAAGAGGGGCTTCCCCTTGCCACAGCTGGTGACTCTTTCAGGTGCTACAAGAGCTCCGTCCTGTCAGTTGTGTCTATCCCAAATCCCTGCCCACAGGTCCTAGCATGTTTAAGAGATGAGTGAGTACCTTTTGTCCTTGGTTTGAAAATAAGGTCACTATGGTACAGATATGGAAAACTGAGTGAAAAAAGAATGCAGTTTTCCTCACACCAGTTCTAAACTGCCACTGGATAACATTGCTCTGGCTGTGCAGGGACTTCCTGACAGCGCAGTCACCTCTGATGCACTCTAAGACCAGAGTCACTCACTTAGAAGGGGGGATGGACTAAATGCTCAGTGTTGAAGGAAAAAACTACAAGGCACCTACGGTAGATGGTGAGGGAGAAATATTTCCAGTATAGAAGATGACTGCTCTCCAGATGAAGAAAACCATTTCAGCAGAAGATAAACCAAATGGGATTTTATTGCACTGAACATAGTAAGGAAAGGAGCCTCTGTGCAAACAACTCACAGGGGACATGATGAGCTGGTTATGCAATTCCTGACTATACTGTCCCTGCTTATACTTGCAGAGGTCAGGCATGTGTTTGCAGAGGTGTTAGAAGAATATGGGATTAAGTACACACGTGTCCCAGTAGAGCCAGGCCTTCATAACTGTGACTGGATTCCACGAACTCTGATGGACTTTTATCTGGGAGTAGAAGAAGATTCTTTTAACACAGTGGACGTGTTTACAAAGCATGGAATAAGGTAAGACAGGCATTACCCATCCTTTTTGTAGTAAAACTTTAAGATCTTATCAGTTCCTGATAGTATATTTCAAAAATGGAACACCACCTTTCTCTTTCCTCTTCTGGGCTTACAGAGAAATTCAGGAGGAGTACAAAAGTGCCAGGGGCACTAGGGCTTAGGAAGTTTTGTTTGAACAGAGATGACTCACTTCCCATTTGAAAGGGAATGTTCTTTTCAGGGGATGTTTCTCAGCCTTCCTAGTGAAGCTGCATTAGCCTGGCATCTGGGATGGCAGGAGAAATGCTGCATCAACACTGGAATATTAAAAGTATGATCTAGGGAAAGGTTTCAAGAAATAACTTTTCATCTACCTGGCAGAATGAAGAAAGGGTTTTAAGTAGCAGGAAAGAGACTAATTAGAAACAAGTGTTTGTCATTAAGGAGAAGCAAGAAGCTCAGAGTTTGCAGTGCCACAGCTAGCTGTCACTGCTCTAAGCAAACAGCCTTGTCTGTCTTGCACCTCAGGGGCCAAGTCTGAAAAGCTCAGCCTTTCCCTTGATAACATACGTTTCTTAAAAGCTTAGTGCCTTATGGATTAAAGACATTTCACTTGATACCCTTGATACCTACCTGTCCTTTGAGGCAGATTTTGTTAATTTCTCAGTCCTCTGAAAAACTAATTTTTTTGGTTAATTTTTTTAGTATCAGTTGTCCTGAACACCAGCAGCAGGCTGGCATTTCACCCTGCCCCATCCCTCCAGAGCCTGTGGGCCGTGCTCCAGCCTGTTTCTAAGGGAAGGAAGGGCACAGCAACTCACAGCGCAGTTCAGCAGGAGAGTAACGCACCTTTCGGTCAGGTCCACATCGGGACAGCGCGGTGGAAACCCCGCACGCCCGGGGCTGGCCGGGAACCTCCAAGAGCCGCCTCTCCGGGGAGGTGGGAACTGACGGGGCCGCCCCGGGACCTGCGCGTGTTTATCCGCCACGCTCCGCCCCCGCTCCGGCCGCTCCCGGCGGGGCAGGTGAGGAGGGACGAGCTCTTACCAAAACACGAACAGGGGGAAACCCAGGGAAATGCTAAGAGCGCGGGGGGCTGAAAGCTCGGGGAACTCAGTGCTGCAACTCGACTTCAGCACCTGTGCAGCAGGACCGCGCTGAGCTCCTGAAGCCGGCTTGAGATGCCGGAGAGCACACATTGCACAGCAGCGAGGTGTCGGCGAGGGTACTATATTCATACTTTAAATTCTTCTGCTAAGTCCTGCAAACTCTTTTCAAGAAGAGCCCAGTGTTCAGCTGGGCTCTTCTTTCATCATGCAGGTAAAAACTGCAGCCTCGGTTTCTTCCAAAAACATTCCCATTCTGCCCTCACATGCATTTGGCTCAGCCTCCTTGGGCTCATTCAGGCTGCACTATGGCCAATGTTTGCAGCCAGACTTGAAGAAAAAAGATCTGTGTCGAAGCTACTAAGAACCAGCCTGTAGCTGTCCTCTAGGAGTAACATTTTGTCCAGTTATTTTGGCTCTTTGATACATTCTGGCAGAATGCTTCTTTAGCTGAGTGGTTTCCATTTATTTCACTACTTTTGCGGTTATTATTCAGGTGTAAGTTATTTTGATAGTGTGGCATTTTTCAGTTTAGCTCTGCTTGTCCCTTTTGGGCCACCAAAATGCACCTGTAAGCTCACAGATACCAAACAACCCATGTGCTGTGACACAGTGTATGTCAGCGCTGTCCCAGCAGCAGGGCTGATGCTGGGGGTTGCTGTCACTGCAGAACTGGTGCTGGAAATAGGATCCTTGTTTCAATAAGGAAAGAGAAAGCATGACTGGCTTGAGGTTCTGTTTTTACTTTTGCTTAAAAGTTTTAAAATCCCCCTCCCCCTTTTTGGTCTTACATTGTAGGTTAAATTTTGATTCCTAATCGACTGGACATAACAGAGTTCTCTACCTACCTCGTTAGCATTAATATCAGTATTCCCTCCCCTGGCTCCAGGTGGCCTGACATTTATATAGGCCTGAGCACCATGGGCAAGAACATGTCTGTGAGCAGCATCTGGAGCGCCATCAACTCTGCCATCCTGGAGGTCACATCCAGTGTGCCCTCGCCTGCACACCCAGCACTGCAGAGCAGGACAGTGACCATTGAACTGATGGTGCACCCGGGGTACCCCAGTGTCCCACCTATTGGTGGCTGTGGGGAAGGACCAGATGATTTCTCCCAGTCCTGGGAGCGCCTCCATGAACTCCAGACGTTAATTAAGCCGGAGCTGCAGAGCCATTACAAAAGCAGGAACATTCAGCTGTGTTCATTCAAAGATCTTTAAATAAATGAGCAGACATCCATCCATCCATCCATCCATCCATCCATCCATCCATCCATTCTCTGAAGCCAGGTAGTTGCTGGTGTCCAGAGAACAGACATTGTTGCGAGTGTCACACTCCCTGGCACAGCTGACAGGACCTGTGAACAGCCTGGGAATGGAAGAGCAATACCCTGCAAGCAGCTCCAGGCAGTGCCCCAGAGCCACGACTGCCAGTTTTTAGGCCACAGCATCTGCTCTGTATGTGACATACCCCTTCTACGACACCCTAACGCAGTGCAGCACAGGGGCCGAGGCCCAGCTGCCTCCCAGGGCTCAGCTCCTGCCATCAAAGGAGCAGCACAGATATGTGCTCTGTTGTGAGACACTTTGCAGCACCCTGAGGGGTACCATCATTTCTCTTTTCAGACTTAATGGCAAAAAAATAAACATGCTGGAGGAGCAGGTGCTGGCTTTGGAGCAGCCGCTTGGTGTAGGTCGTGGGAGGCCTGGAAACCGTCAGCATTTGGTTTTTCTAAAGCACTCAGTCGTGGTCCCTGCCCCTCCACTCATCCCTGCTCATAAGTGGGGAGGGGGTGCAGGGCACGTCACTTTCAGAGCATTCCTCTGCTCAGAGCAGTCAGATAATACACGTGGCCCGCTGGGATCTGCAGCCCTTTCAGGAGCCAATTCAGCCGGCAGTAATTTTGTCCCTGCCTCTTTACATTGCCTCTTGGCATTAAGCTCCCATAGGAAAGTAACATTGGCCACAGCCCTTACAGAGAGGCTTTCTTATTTTTTTGATGACTGCGAGAACAGCAACTGTTGACCCATCTGCTATTTCAGTAACTGCTGTGTGTGTACAAGAGCAGCAGCAACTGATCCTGTCCTGCCCACTGCCCCTCAAGACAAACACAGGGATGGCCCTGTGCCAGCTACAAGCAGGTCTGCAAGGGGACAAGGTCCCTCTATCTGTCCCATTCATTCCTGCCACCAAAGCATTTGAACTCCAGTAAGCCCTAGCAATGCTTAACACTCTTAACTGCAGCTCTGTCACTCCTACAGAACTTTCACATGGGGAGAAATTATTTTAGATTGTGTATGCTCATTTTCTGCACATAAGTGATCCATTTAATGTAATCGGTTTTGCTAACCATGTTTTTTAATATTCAAAATGTCAATATGATCATCATTCTTTTAAATGAAAAATAAACTCAGGCCTTTTCTATTGTAGTGCTTCAGGAGGCTTTTGGGTTTGGTTACAGGTGGTGAGTAAATTAAACCCACCCACCTTTCTGCTCTCCCTGTGGTTGCCTGGGAGCTCCAGAAGGGTTTCCATTGCCTTTCCATCCTTAATGGGAACTATCTGACCTTCCCTGTAACACATTTGAGGACATTTTTGTCCTGTACAAATAGGAAAAACAAGGATGCTGTAGAGAATATTTTTCCAGATTCTTTCCTAAATTATTGTCAGAGAACTAATTAGATATATGACAAGTTTGTTTTTAAAAGCACTCCAGGCTGGGTCTGACCAGGGCAGTTGTTACCTTTTGGGATAACGCTATTCCAAGGGTTCTTCCAACGGGGACAGACCCGCGCTCCTAGCAGCCCCACCCACCACCGCCGCCCAGTGCCCGCCAGGATCACTGCAACCACCGTGACGGGACAGAGTTCAGCTGGTCATGGAATGTCATTGTGTTTTCATGGCTATTTTTAAGGTTTAAATTGCTTCATGTTCTAACCACTGAATTTGCCCTGATCACAACCAACCGGACATTACACACCTGTTGAATTTTGGAGGCATTTCCTGGCAGCTGAGCACTAGAACCTGACAGCAGCAGTACCCAAGCACTGCACTGCAAAGACAAAATGTAAACGAACACATTAAACCCCAAATTTTCATTTAATTGGAGAAATGAATAAAGAATACTAAAAGACTCCTAAATAGGGAACTTTTCAATTGCATGTAGGGAGATAAGAAAGTTTCTCAGTGGTTCTATGAAAGCTTTAAAGGCAACCCAAGTCCAAATTACAAATGATACTAAGATTCCAGTTAACCTCCAGACCTCTCTGAAAATAAAACAATGCCACAAAGCCTTTGAGAGCAATTTTTATTAGGGTAGCAGAATGGACTTGCAGAAAGCCTATACCAGTACTCCTGGGTGTAGTTTCACCACTGTGCTGCTTTTATTGTAGATGTTCAACTGCACATTTAGAATTCAGCATGGCTTAGGGAACCAGAGAGAACAAGAGCTGGATTTCCTGAGTTAAATAGGACTTCGCACTTGGATTTCTTCTCCTCAGACTTCAGCCACACAACAGTGTTGGATCCCTTTATTCAGAGGCTGCCCCCAGACAGCACCAGCACTTGGGTTACACATCTCGCAGTTTAGCAGTTGGACTATGGAGAACACACCAAGAGAACTGATAGCAGGATCTGTCTTCCATGTGACCTCTGCAGCTGGAACCGGAATGGCTGGTGCAGCACTGCGTGACTCGAGTTCCTTGGATCACACAGCCCTTCCCTTCCCTTCCAACAGCATCTGAGTCACAGTGATGCAGACAGATGCAGTCTTTGACCTGAGAGGCTTTACAACCACAGAGTAACTACTGAGTAGCAACGAGGGCAGCAAACTAGTGCTACAGTTTTGTTTCAAAATAAAATTTAGAGAATGGTACGTTTCCATGCCAACAGACATGATGAAAGGTACAGTAACTCAGGTGATGTGGAAGTTACACACTTCAGTTTGACAGATAATTTGGCATTATTTTATTATGAGTCCAAGTGAGCGTGAATGAAATAGAATCGGTACCAACTTTCTGCAAATGAAGACACAAAGATGTGAAAATTTGGTAGTAGTGCTCTCACAAGCCTGAAAACACTTAGGAAATGCAAGTTTCCGTAAATAAGGTGAATGTGGTTTAACTTTATTTACCTGCCAAAGAATCTGTCTAAGAACACTTAAACATAACATTTCTTAGCTCCCTAACTTATAAAAAAAATTACTTTCAACAGAGGTGAGGTACTGGGCTGTCATTGATTACACTAAATCAGAAATGAAAGCCAGATGAGAGGGATGAATGAGGGAATAGCAAATACACGAGGGAATAGCAAATACACGAGGGAATAGCAAATACACGAGGGAATAGCAAATACACAAGACATTACAACCAAGAGAGACTTACTGCTTGACACACTAGTTCCGAAAGGTTGCGAAGGCAGAGGCTCTATTAAAACTGAATTTAACAGGCAACCACGCCGGTGCCAGGGATTTTCTAACTCAGCTTCCTGCACATCAAAATTATATGTGCTCCCAGATACTGATGGATTTCTGGAGATAATCCATTTGCTCAGTAACAGACCCCAGCTGGAGAGTAGGGAGGACACAGCAGTTTGACTGTGTGGCAGTTTGACTGTGGAGCTACAAATCACTCTGGACTGGGGAGAGAAGGCAGGTGACAAGCAGCAGGGACACAGCCAAGGATGCTCAGTTCTGAACAGAAAGGGCTTGCGTAGGAGTACCCCAGAGCAACCGGTAAACAGCTCTGCCTGATTAAGCCACAGTGCCAGAATGACACTTGAACACACTGAATCACCTAACCCGTGTGTTTAAACACAGGAGCAGCAGCAGCAAAGCACATTCCTACCTTATTGCTCAGCCCTGTCCTTCCTCCAGTGCTGTTCAGAACCTGGCAGCAGAGGGGCTGGGAAGGGGCACAAGTGCCACCCCATAAACATGCGTGTTTCTTACGCATTCTGATGGAAAATGTTCAGAGATGACAGCAGTGCTGTTAGGTTTAGTTCTTGAACTCAAAATGAACATCTCCAAAATACCAATTTTAAACTCAAAAAACCAGTTTATCACTTTGATACCTCTTGGTCCTCAGCTTCTGACACTCTCCTGGATTGGTTGCAATGTTGTTCTGTGCACATTCCTGCTACTCTGCATAGGCATTAAGGATAGAAGTGAAGGAAATTTGCAATCGCATTCCACTACTTGTTTGCTACAGATTTTTTTCCCCAGAGTATTCCAAAAGCAGAACATAAGCCACATTCTAATTCAATGACGCACACAAAAACTTGGGTTTCCCCGTTTAATAGGCATTGGCCAGATTTACATCAGACCCAGACATTATTTCTGATTGGTTTTGTGGGATTGGGTTGGTTTTTGTTTATTATGTTACAAACTGAAGTTCAGGGGACCTTGCAACAAGTCCCACAAAGCACAGTGCAACATTTAAAAAGAAAAGTAAACAAAACTGCCAAACACTCAATCATTTTCTGCCAGAACTGGGATATTTTTCCTAAGACATCACTTTGAGGAGGGGCTTTAAAATTCAGTGAATGAACTCAAGATAGTGGGAACTGCAAGGAAAAATAAGAAATGACAGCCACAACCTTTTCAATTTAAGGGCAGAATATAAGTCTAAGATATTTTTGATAAATTCTGACAAGAAAAAGAAAACAGCGTACTTTAAAGTATATTGAAGCAGTGATTTTTAAACAAAGAAAGCAGAACTAGAACATCTTAAATTTTAATCCTTTCTTTACAGGTTACCTAGCCCACTTTTGATTAAGAAAACTGTAGAAAGTTAGTAACAGCCACAAGTTCACACCGAAAGGTGGCACTTGTCAATTTTCCATAGAGTCCTGCTTTATGGGGTGTCTCAAATGCACTGCTCCGATCTTCTATCATACGTTGCTGACAGCAGTCGTGCCAGATTAGTCCACTGGTCGCTTTTCACCATATTTCTTTGTAAACTCTTCAGCGTTCTTACAGAATTTTTTACGGTCCTTAGAGTATTCTTCAGCTAGGTCAGCCCGGAGGGGATGCTCGGGCTGTGGATCATTCACCAGTGCTATGAGGGACTGGATTACTGTCAAAAGAAGTATAGAGACCATCAGACACTAAGATGGTTAATTTTTAAAAATCAAACTGTAAGCAAAGTTCCCCAGTAAGAAAAGAGCTTTAACTGTATTTAAATACATCCCCATAAATCTCAGGCCTTTTCAAATGCAGGACATGAGTAAGCTGGAGCAATATGCCAAGATTTAGTTCAATGACCATGAATGAACACCAGGAAATTGTATTTGTAAACAAAATCAACATGAATAGAGACCAAAGTGCACTGCAAATGATTTCCCATAACTGGCATTCCCTCTGAAATACTCTCCCTATGGCTCAAAAAGAATCAAAGTTCCCAGACAAATTCATCTAAAGGGATTGGGTAAATATGGAATTTCCACCATGAAGCATTTTTCTCAACACCTGTCACAATGATGCAGCTGTGACTGGGCCTACTTCTGGAAACTCTTTTTTCCAGCTTTATTTCTCTATGACTCTTAACTCCCCTGTGAACAGCAGGCAAGTCTTCCCTTTACTCTCATAGTTCTTGACCAAGGCAGCCACCAGCAGAGATGCACCAGGCAGACAAAGGGGTGAGAGCTGGAAGGGGCATTTCCCCCCTGCTCGCAGCTATGTCACTGAGGAAATGTCATTCTTCAGGAAACAGAAATGCACCTGACATTTACACAGTGAGCCTCACCCACCACAGTGACATTTACTGCTACATTTTCCTCACACATTCCTAATGGTCACTGAAAGCTCACAAGGATAGGGAGTTCCCCTGTCCTGTCACTCAAAGGTCTACACAAAGAGCACTTCCCTGCCCGACAGCTGGAGCAGCATGAGAAACATTCATTCGAGGTAAGTCTGTGCTAATCAGAGTAAGACAAGGCAGCACTCCCAGGGTTTTTAATGTGAGTATAACAAACCCTCTTCACTTCATGTACTGCACACCACGGCCAGCTGCTTCCTCCTAAACTCACTTCCAACACTGACACCTGCCCCATCCTGCAGAGGGGTGTTCCACAGTTCAGCCACGTGGGTTCGGAAAGGCAGAGTCCGTCCTTTGTTCTGAAACATCTACTTAGCAGTTCAACTGGATTCTCCCTTGCAATGCAAGTTCCTACAATGCTTATCACTTCAGCAGAATCAGGAATACTAGAGTGGCTTCTTTTGGAGCGCTGATCTTGTCAAGCTCATACTCTTTTCTACCTTTACCTGACAGGAACAGGAACATACCTCAAACTAAATACTCAACTCTGGATTGCTAAACAGGAACATTTCTTACCAAAAATCTGAGTTGAAACTGCAACAAACTATCTAAGGAATGTATAATTGCTATTAGCTTCCTTCACAGTAACTCACCAGTCCTGGACTTAGAACTGCTATCACATTACTGACTGCTTATGAAACCAGCAGCAACACTGCATGTGACAATCCCTTCTCACTGAGCAAAACATGCTAAAATATTAGAGAGAAAATGTGTGTTCAATAACCTTATTAACACAGTAAGAAACATACATGCCAGAAAAAGTCGTAACAGGAACTGCCTCAATATCCACAGCATTTAGAAACTATACTGCCATAACAGTCTTTTTTAATATCAAGCATAAATAAAAAGTACAGCAGTAAGATGCACATTTAGTATGTGAATGAAAGGTGAGTTACTGATTTATGAATCTCTCCAGTTTCTTGACACCTCACTGAACAAAACCAATTACTTTGATATTGTACTAATAGTCACGTTATTTCATTGAGAAAGGCCCAAACAACAAACAGACTGAGGGTGATTTTTCAATGCAGAAGAAATCTGAAGCAAAAGGAACAGGCATTTAAGCAGGGCTGTAATAACACTGTCACAGGTTCATACAACCATGTAGTAACAACAGATGTTGACACTAAAACAACTTTTTGAAGAATAAGTTAAAAGACAAATGAAAGACCACAACACAGAAGATCATGAGCGATTTGCATTATTTTGGTACCCTGGGTTTGTTCCAAATTCTGATTTTAGCACAGCTTTTATTCACTGTCTCAGATAAAAAGGGAATTGCTGCTTCTCAGGGAGACACTAACTTTTTCCTGCATGCAAACAATTGCTTTTTCATGCAAACAATTGCTTCAGCAGTTCCAACTAATGCCAGCTTGCATTTCAAGCTGGGCAGACAAATATAATTTCTTTACCTAACTAGAAAAGGCTGACTGGACCAAGACAGCAGCTCAGGTATTAACAGAAGCGTTTAACACATTGTTTCTATCTCCTCTCTCTTCTAAAACAACTAGAGAAATTTTGCTGTTTTGTCTTTGGGGCAAGATCACACCAACTGTAAGTACTTCCATTAGCAGGAGGACACAGGATAAACAAATTTTAAGTACAGCATTGTTTCCTATCAGGAACACAGTTCCAGTGAAAACAACCTATAAGAGGAGCCTGGAAGATATACTTTCTCCTGTATAGCAAGATACTTCGGTGTCACCAAAGCTCTCGCACTGCTCTAAACTGTTACTCAACTGAATTAATACTTTTAAAAAATAAGCGTTTTTTGCAAAGATGTTTGCTCTTTCTATATGTATATAATAAATGCTTAATATCAAACTAATCATTACCTGCCAAAAAAATGGGAAATTCTCACCCCAACAACAGAAAAAAACCTACTTGAATCACACTCTCAGTCTGCCACAGAACCTGATGTACCATTTTTCCTTAAAATATTTGAATTCTTATTCTAAGACACCGTACACAGCAGACTTTACAGCAGCGATCTACAAGTTAATCTGTGTTATGATTTCAGATTTCGTTTATGACTCCCCTGATATTTTAAGCCATATCAAATTACTGAACCACACGGCAATTATAAAATATACAAAGCCTTGAAGTGTTAGACCCTTTCTTTCCAACATCAAGAAATGTACTGAAGACCTCTGGATTCTAAAGTCACTGTTTAAAAAGAAACACAAAACAACCCCCACACAAACTACCACCAAAATTTTCAAGTATACCAAAGACACTACCTTAAAAAACTCTTCAGTCATGAGGAGTTTTGTGGTTTCCTGGAGGTGGAAATGCCACATGTCAGTGCCATCACCTCACATGTCAGTAACAAAATGAGATTCCACAAGTTTTGGATACCTCTTATGATTCATGACACAAAACCTTACACCCCAAGAGCACCAGCAGCTGATAAGTTGACACATGGTTAGCTTTAAATTTAAACACACTACGAAGTTTCTCCATACCCCGTTTTCTCTCCACATGGAGTCCTACCTTGGTCAGTTTTGGTTGCTGGCTTCCAGTTTTCAGCACTAATTACTGGCAGACAAACCTGCCCTTTTTCATCGATGTTAGGGTGATAGATCTTTGTTTTAAATGTAATCTTAGGAGGTTTGAATGGATATTCTGCTGGGAAGTTGATTTCGATTCTGAAGGCTCCTTTATCATATGGAGGATTGTCCTGCAATAAGAAGGTGGAATGTCAAGAACGTGGCACATACTAATGGACTCAAGTGAAAAAAGCATGCTCCAGACTTGGATCTATCAAACAACCTCTTTGAAAGGCACTTTCTTCCAACATGTACTGCCATGTCTGTGTGTCAGGAGACATCAAAACCTGTTTGGGGACAGAAGCAATACAACCTGTACATTTGCATCCACCCTGGAAAAAGCAGACTGCCATTGTCCTGCAGCTGGCTGACACTTCTACCAGTAAGAAAGCATCCAACCCCATTTACTCTCAACTCAAGGTCCTATTTAACAAGTAGTTTTATTCCCAACTTTGTGTTTCAAAAAACATTGTAAACCCTTTCCAGGACACAAACAGGACGGTTGACAAGGGAAATGGGTTTTCTGAACAGAGTTATTTTATTTTGTGTGTCGTACAACATGGTGGCACCAGCAGCAAAGCAATTCGATTTGTCAGATCTCCCTAAATGTTCTGAGAATGTTTTTGTGCTGACTACACAAAAATCTGCTGAGCATTCATGGGTACTAAAGATAGATATTCACTGTGTCTGCTGATGAGAACATTCTGAATTTGTATGCAGTTTTAGCACCCACTCTTATCAGATCAGTTTTGAAGGAGCATGATGAAAGAACTGAGTTCTCCATGCTGAAACAGAAAAAACAATGCCCAGAATCTCACTTAGAAAACCTGTTAGACTAAAATCTGAAGACTAGGCTTCAGATACTGACTGCAGAAGGGAGGCGGAAGAAAAATAAATAAACTATTGCTACATTTAAAGCTTATGAAAATACTGTTCTGCATTGAAAACAGTAACTGTGGAATGAAGCCTTTCCAAACACACTGGGAACATGAATCAGGATGAGAGTTTCCAGTTGGTGTAAAGTATAACCACACACATTCTTCATTAGCCACCAGACCATTCTCTGCAATCAAACCCACTCCAGGATTTATCAGTATTGGGGAGCAGAGAGTGTTGTATTAAAATATTATTCAACAGAAAACATTTAAGTTCATCCATATGGAGAACCTGGTTGTGTGTTTTTAAGAAATACACCACAATTTCTGCAGCCAAGGGAAGAAGTAACTACAGTGGCTTTAAAATCACTTATTAAACAAGCAATCCTAAAAGCTTTGGAAGTTTAACAAATAATTTTTGGTGGTGGTGACAACTTAAGCAGTCAGTGCCCTCTCCCCCACAGCTTACTTGTTCTTGCCTCCATCCCAAGCTCTAATTTGTGAGGATGTTCAGTGAACAAAAACATGGGAAGTGACCTGCCTTAAAAACATCCATTTTCTTCATTGTACCTGACCAACATATTGAAACAAAAGTGTATGTAGATTATTCAAGCAATTAATTCCCAATTATTTGTTATATTTATTTTGACGTTGACAAGAGAAATAGAATTTTAAACACCAAAACAGACTTGGATTCATCTGAAGTACTTTTGCTCTGCAAAAGTTTGTCCACAGCCAGCAATTTTGATTAAGTGAAATGAAATTCACGGTACACCATCAGTACCTGCTACAAGGATAAGGAGCCTGGGGTAGAGACAATCTTGTTTTGACATGGAAATTGAACAAATAGTGTACCTTGGCCACTCATGATACACAAACTACCTTATTCTGCAGTTTATAACAGGAAAAAGAAATTGACCAGGTACCTTCAATTTGCTTCTCAATTGAGTGAACACCCTTAGAAACTAATAGTTGTTCTGAAGAGCAAAATATGTTAGAAACAAAAGCTTCTAAAGCTTTACAGTTCACCTTTACATTACCTTTCACATTAATTCTGTATGAACACAATAATATTAACCTTTATCTTTCACACCTTTATTAAGCAGCTGACCAAAGTAATGCCTAGTCATAGAGTTTAATAATCAGTAACTGGTTACTCCTACTGAAGTGTACTTCATTAAACCTTAAGCAAGAACATTTTCTGAATGCAAAAAGCATGTGAAATTTCAAATGCAAATACTCAGAGAAAAAAACAAACCCAAAAACTTGCAATCAGTTTGTGTGTTGCCTTTTTGAGCCATCAACTCCAGTACCAAAATAGCTGAAGAGGTGATAAGACTAAAACATTGCCTATAGATTATCCTCAAAATAAAAACCTATTCTACTCTTTGAACACATACAACACATTAATTACTATAGGAAGCATAATTTAATCACAAAATTCTCCCTTAACTATGCCACCAGTGAGTTTAAGGTTACTTCTCCTCTAACAGGGCATATTACGAACCAAAAGGCAGATCTGGAGCAGTTAACTTTATGAACATTTAAACATTTGTGATGCTTCGAATCGTTGCAAAACAAATAACTATGGTGAGCAGAAACTGTTAAAAATAGTTGCTGTACACCACACACTCCTAATTTAACAGGAAAAAGCAAGTATTTTTGTGTTTTGCCTTATTAGTCACGTTTACCAACCTTACATTGCTTCAGAGTATTATCAAAGCACTAAACTGTTACACACGAATCACAAACACAAGAGTGGCTGATTAAAGCAGTTGTTCCTCAGCTGTCAAATTTCAGTGTCAGATCCTGCTTGCTTTATTTGTAAGAGTAGTGTCAACCACTCCAAGGAATCACTTGCAGGCACACAAGTAAACAGTAACTAAATGTATTCTGCAGCATTTAAAGCAAAAAGGCCCAGTCATTATCTCAGCCTGTGTCTTGTGAACTCCTGAACAGCATCCGAGTAACAAGGCAGAGGCACTGCTACAAAGATGTCTCAAAGTCTTATATACATATATTAAAAAGACAGACTTCCACTGGCTGGGGGGGGCTTTTTGGTAGCATCCACAGAAAATCAGAACTGCTGACCCAGTGGTACAGCCCCAGTTGCTGTAGGCTTAGAAGTAACTCATAGAACCATGGGAGGCATTTCCCACTGCTACAGCCACAGCAGTGGGAAAGAAGTGAAAATCCAAGGGACTTTCAAACAAGGAATTTAATGCAGTAGATTTCCTGCTTTCCCCTTAGTAATAAATCCCTCTCTATTTGATTAACACAATGGTTATCTACTTAGACTAAACATTCTCCATTAGAAGACCATAGTGCTTATAAAAATATTTAATTTTTTAAAAATTAATTTTTTGGCACTAACTAATGCCTAAAGAAAGACACTTTCTTTTCAAGAGCTCTCTTCTGAAAATACAAACCTTTTCCTTGCATCAAACTTTTCCCAATACTCAGTTTTATCCTAGAAATAAATCTAGTCAATTAAAAAAAATAAATATGAAGCAGTAGAAGTATTTAATACTTCCTTTTCTTAATCATTATTTATGTTGATGTATATTTCGTACTTTAAGCTTAATGTAAAAAACTTAAATGTAGAAACTTAATATAAAAGGCCATTTGCTTCCCTCTTCCAACACTCAGTGCCACCACTGAGCTCCAGTGTTGGACCAGGCCTACAATAATGCAGCATCCAGGGATGGATCAGGAGTAGAACACCTTGCAGTTACAGGAAGATTTTTCTTCAGACTAGTTATAACAAACACAAAGTAACATATATCAGACTTGGATAAAACAAACCACAGAAGACACTCAAATGAGACAGGAAGATTATGCTCTTTGTCCCAGATTACACAGGGTGTCTGAAGAGAGACAAGATTTAAAACCAGGAGCACATTTCAGCTGCAGTATCACTTGTGTAAACTCACCCTGTATTTATTAACAACCAGCTGCTGCCCAAATGCACAGCTCTGAAGGATAGGTTTTATAATAATAAAAAAGGTAATCTTGTCGGGGTGCAGGAATTATTTCATGGTCACCAGCCACACTACTAAACTGTAGATTTATGACATACAAATGATCCTCATTTTAAAGCTCATAACAATAAGGAGTAACCTATACTCACAGGAACAATAAGCCCTTGCCAGGTCAATAAATTGGCTTCATCAACCTGGATGTTACGGAAGTTTTTCATTCCACATTTGCGGATTTCTTCAAGCTCCTGAAAAGCAAAGTAAAGTACAAAGTGTAAGTTAATAACTGTATTAAGTAAGATGCTCATAATTATTTTTCAAGATGCTTAGAGGTCGGGGTGGGTTTCTTTAATGTTAAAGCAGCTTGAGGTTGTAGTGGTGGCAACCCACACAAATAGGAAATAAAATTTTGCACCTGTAAAAAGTGAAATTCTCTATGACAAGATATTAAAAAGCTTATTTTTTTGTCAGGAAAACACAAAAATGCCTTGTTATTAACAGGATTAGAGATAGAATGAAGCAAAAGTATTAAAAAAGTACATTTACAAATGTTTTTCTATCTCAAGTGTAAATCGGTAACAGACCACTGATAACACCGTGAGGCACAGAGATAAAATACATCTAAGGACTTGTCTGAAGGAGAACAGTGATTTGGAAAAACTATTTCATAACAGTTTTAAACACAGGTAAAATCACTGAACAGGCCAATTATTTCAACTGAAAAGAAAACAAATTCCTGCATGACCAGCTTAAATTGATCCAAACCCAGAAAAATATCAATCTAACCCAAACAAGCCTTGTTTAGAGCAGTAACTTGAGAAGATTCAGCTTTCCCTCTCTTTGATACCTCAAAGCTCTCAGGACACATTAAGAGTCCTCTCTTTATAGCTGTGTCACTCTTGAACAAGGTATATTTCTGCAACAGTCAAACCATTTTTAATCAGTTAGTGATCCAGGTATCACCAAAACAAGTATTTCAGTATTTTTCTATTTAAAATTATTTATAAATCCCAGTGTAGGGACTGTTTCCTGGAGTATTTCACGAGAGCTGAAAAGAAACACATGGTTTCACTTTTATTTCCCCCACAACAATTACAGTCCTTTGCTGTTTAACTTTGCTGTTTTATCTTTAAAGAGAACTTAATTGAATACAAATTCAAAAGTCATCCACAGTCAAACACGGAAGTTTCCCAGTGCTTTCAGAAGTGCAGCACATGCCTGGTGGCTACATAGGTTAGGAAAAATGTTGCTTATACAGCAGCACTGGTGTGCTCTGACAGTGCTCTGCACTGAGTGCAGGCACCTTGCAAAATTAGGCTGGCTATTACTATGATAAAACCACACCAACTACAAGCAAAGGCATTACAGACTGGAAAACAAAAACCACCAGTTTTCCTGCTACAAGTGCTGTACTGTCCATTTTTGGGGGGAATTTAAGGTTTTTTCCCCTAAAATAGCTCTGTGTTCATATTGGATCAAATGTTTCTGCATCTGACAGGCAGACTTAATACTTGCAACAAGTTTTTGCATAAACTCAGCACAGTGATAAACCCAAAGGAAAATGAAATTTCCAAAAGCACATGAAACAAAAATCACACAAGAGCCACACATCAGAACATGAACATTTACATTCCCACTCACTACACCCACAAAAGCAAGAACATACTCCAAACACCGAAGTTTAACCTTGGAGTCTTGGACACTGAGTTGATGCCCAACACAGTCTTCATGACACTAAAATTTACTATCCAGTCTAGACCCATGGATTAATCCCCAAATTTCACTGCTGCTAGATTTATGCAATGTCACAGTCAGTTTGGGTGTTTGGTGGTTTTTTTTTGTTGTTGTTTGGGGTTTTTTTTGTTGTTGTTTTTTTTTTTAAGAGGCAAGAGTATTATCCTATATCCTTAAAGCAGAAAAACATATAAAAGCCACACAAAAATAATCCCATGAATCATATTCATAGGGATAAAGAGCAAACAAAAATATTCATAAGAAAATAACCTTTATTATCCCAGCTCTAAGTGATGCTTTACGAAAGCACAAATCCCCCCAATGCCTTCCTCTGAGCGCTCTAGCACAAAGCAGCAGCTCAGGGAGAGCCTGACTGATCCCAGACTGACTCTGCCCTGACAGGGTCAGGGAAGTAACTCACTCCAAACAGTTTTGCTGCTCTCTCCCATCCCACACAGAACTGTGAAGTCCTGGCAAACTACTACTCCACAGTATGTAAAAGGGACAAATTGTATTCCATACTAGATGTAACACATTGAACATTGGAAGCAAAATAAACTAAATAAGCAGTAGGTATTTAAGCATGAATAAACGTGCACAAATAGGCATTATCACAAGTGCCTTCACTCTAAAACAAGAAAAGGAAAATGGGTTTAGACTATTTTCTAGCTACTATATTACAAACATTACACATGATAGAAATCTCCCCCATTATGTCTCGGTGGGAGTGTAGATTTCGTGCAGGAGCTTTTATCCCAGGTTCAGACAAGGAATTACAATGTTGCTGGCCCAGAGAACAACTGCCCGGACACACAAAAAAACGGGAGGACTATGACTCTATAATTCAGGTATGCCATTAAGCTAATAAAACAAATTAGAAAAGTGTGGCTTCACATTTCTGGAAAATTAAACACCTGCATTTTATAGTTAGATTCTGGTTAAAAAACTGTATGCTGAATTAAGAAAAGGAAGATTCCCACACAGAGATCATTACAAAATTTTAAAACTTTGTACGCGGGCAACAAAAGGTTTAAAATAAACATGCAAATAGCTCCTCATTTCCCCTCAAGTCCACCACAGGAGAGAGGGAATTAAATGAGAAGACACTAAACAACAAGCCAAAAATTATTGAGACCATCTTCCTCTTTAATCTGACATCTGAGGCCTTTGCAGGAAATCGCTTCCAAAATCAGAGAAGTGGTAAATTACTGGAGTGTGTCAGGGCTCTGTCCTGCCCTTGTCCTATGGTTGGAGCCGACAGCTGAGCCAGAGACAGGCAGGATAAACCCAGCAGTTCCATCCCTTGCACACAGGCAGGACTGCAAAGGTCACGGACAACCAAGCCATCTTAGCAGGGCACGTGCCTGAACCATGCACTTATGACAGATCCCAATTTATATGAGAAATTACTTTTGTTATGCTAGAAGAGTTTAAGATTTCATTTGTCACTCCAAATGAATCAGGTTCCCTGTCAGACTTATTTACAAATAGCTTTTTTTTCACACTACTGTCCTCACAACCACAACACCACACAAGTCAGTCAGGAGTGGTAAGAACTTAACCATTCACAATTTAAGGCTGTGAGGGGAGGTTGTTTTGGCTTTTTTTTTCTGGCAACTCCCAAACCCCATAAAAAAGATTTAACTGCTTCAAAGCTATGGACACAGCTACAATTACAGCATAAATCTACTGTGGAAAAAGTGAACAAGCTAACTAAATACTTTCAAGCAGCACAGATTAAAGTTAACATTACATTTAACATGGGCTTGAGCAATTCCAAAGGGACAAAAACTACTTTATGAGGTAAAAGAATACAATCCAGATATTTATTTCAAAATAATACTTAAGAGTCTAGGCAGACAGTAAATAGATTAATACCCCTTCTTGACCTCCACTCCTTAATTTTGTCAAGTAACATAATTAAAAGAGCATAGGAGAAACGTAACTAAAGGTTAGAAGGCTGCAGTAAGAATTTCAGGCAGTCTTCATTCCCCACTCTGTTATCAACCTTGCATGTGACCTTGCTGCACTGGCTTCCCCCCTTACAAAACTGAAAGATCTTACTTCATGGGGCTGTCTTGAGTTTGGAGTTTGAAAACATTCAGAGAAAAAGTTATACACAGCACATGAAATGGATAAAACATTGTTCCAGAGGTGGTGTCTGATCTTCAAGTATATAATGCCGAACGTAGTCATAAAAGTACATACTACCTCATATACAGTGATTAAGGATTTGAAATTGTTATTTTCAATATTGTGTAATCATTTGTGCTGTTCAAATAAAATTTTAAATGTTTGAAATGAAAAAGAAAAGCAGCATCGGCTTAAAATGTAGTTAAGTCTTTCAAAAACCCTGCAACCATTTTATCCTTGCATCTTTCAAGTTTTGGGACTTCTCTAAATAAACAAGTTGGATAGGAAAATGCAGTGAAGGCAAATACTTGTAAGATTACCCTCCTAGAATATGGGAATAAGTGTAAGAGCTCATACAGACTTCAGGAAGTTCTGCATCAAGCCCAAATGCTACTAAATTCACAAATAAAAACAAAAGTCTACGGAAATAACTTTAAACCGTGATTCTCTAGAGTTTACAACTGATGTTTCCATCTTTAAAAATACATTCTCTAAAAGATGCCTGACAAAGCTAAACAGGTTCCAAAACACTGATCAGGAACTGAACAATTTCACTTTCTGAATTTACGTTACAGAAAAGCGTTAAAATACCTTAAAACGTAATTTTACCACAAAAAATCCCAACACAAACCCAACTAAAACCCCAAACAGAATCTAGCTCTTATAAGAAATAGCAGTAAGTTTCCTCCACAAAACTACAACCTTGTATACTCAGATCTTATTGACCGAGCAATCTACTTTTTGGCAAAGTATTTTTATTTGATTAAAAATCCTTTAGTCAATTCTCTGTTTCAGAAAGGGAAAATTAATCGATATTCTCACTTTTCCATACGGACAACTCTACATTGCTCAAAAGTACACTTCCCTTGTTACTGAGCGTGGAAGTTTGAATCAATTTTGAATTATTTTTCAAATAATGAAGTTGTTTAAAACGTGTTTATTTGGGAGGGTTTCAGTGTTTACAGAATCACAGCATCCCGGAGATAGCAGGCCACCTACCTGGGTGCGGCCTCATGTTTGTGTTTTATCATAGAGTTGAACAGTTGCATAAATGTTTGACTATGCAATTATGGAAGCAGAGTAAAAACTATAAGATTAAAATAACTGTCTACGTATCTCACTTCATATTTATTCTTTAAATCTATTTTCAATTTTTAACACTAAAGATACTTTTGAACATCTAAAAATGAGTAAACCAAAGTGTGGATCTTACAGATGATAGGCAGTCACCATGGAAGGGCACAGCTCCACACTTGGGGCAGCACAGCCTTCTCCAACACCCTGTGGAATGTGCAGCTCACCACCATGTTACTACACCGGCAAGTAAGTACTAAGAGTATCCAGCACCAAAATAGCTGCACCCTCTGCAGCCCCCCACTTCTTCTCCACACAACATTTAGCTATGGATCTCACATGGAGAACGGCTTGTTTTACAGTAGTGGGTGGCAGCTGTGAAAAGCCTTCCCCTGAAGTCTCTGGGAGCTCCGTGATTCCCATCACACATGTTCGGAGACAATTTGCTTTATACAGGAAAGCACCCTGAAGCCTTGTACCCCCTTAAAAGAGAAGCCTTAGATCCTAAGCATAATCACTCCATATCTGCCTCTTTTAATCCTGAGAGGTTGTCCACAAGAGAACATCCTTGACAAAGACTCCTTTATTCCCACCACTGACATTTCACAAGTAGTCAAGATTCAACAACTGTGGCTCTTTGAAGAGGTGTAATGGTGGCTCACAGATCAAACCTCCACTTCAGATGTCACTGGAATATGAGTCATTAGCAATGTTTATTTCCCATTTTTGCTAAGCTAGGTGTGCTCCTGGAACGGCACACCTCCCCTGAGCTGCTGTCAATCAGGAGGGAAGACTTCAGTTAAGACTATTTGATGCTCTGAAGTTCAGCAAAAATAGGCCATAAGTAAGGTCTTTGGCCTAGAGAACGTGATTTGCTCAAACACACCCTCAGATAACAAGTCGACCTTATTCTTGTTATAACTGTATAATGACAAAATTTGTAATGCTTCTTTCACACAGAGATTTGCAAACTGAAGATGCAAATGGCTTCCCCAATCTGTAAAGGACATCAATTTCCACCTGGAGAGTAGAAACTAGACTCATACTCCCAGTTTTCTACAGGCAGACAGAGACTTATTATGGACGTGCTACATCCAGCCTCTTTGAGCCACGGTGATTAATTTGAATAACTATGATGCATGACACGAGTCCAGAAAAAATGCAGTGCTTCAAAATCTTGGCAACACCTTAAGGAAACAGGAATTGCTTAATTTTATGTGACCTACAAAAAGTTTAAGGTTTAGTCTCACTTATCAAAGACAAACTTGATATTTAGCTCAAAGAAAGGACAGTTAATGCTTATCCTAAATTATTTCAAACATAATTGAGTGACACAGAGAAAAACCCTACTTCTTTTAGTTATAATCACTCATCATTCCAAGACCCTGAGAAAAACACCCCCCAGACTCTTCCCAATTGCAAAACTTCAACAGTGAATGACTTTAATTTAAAGTCATTGGACCTATGAATTTGGAACTTCAACACTGATATTAGGGTGATACACAGGTGAGTTTGGACCCTCAAATCATCATGCTGCAGCAATCCAGATGATGTCACTCCTACAAGCTCTACTTTGTTCCTACTGAGATGAATGGCAAAACCAGAGCCATTCGGGCTGACTGGACTCTCCACAGGCAGGAAAGGATCTGTTTATTTAACAGCCTTTGCAAATTGTGTGATAGAGCATCTTGCAGCTCTTGGGCCACATAAAAACCATACACAGCATGAACAATCCCCAAATATTGGGCAATAAAAAAGAAACTAAAAACATAAGAGGTAAGTTATCGATGGCTCTCTCCTTCCCACAGCCCTCCCTCTGAGAAACAACTGCCACACCAATTGTCTAGAAAATAAGGTTACACTGTCAAAAACTGCTTTTACTGCATTTTAATAAAAAATTAAAGTACTTAACTAATGTTTCAGAGGTACAGTGAAAATGAGGAGGGGGGTTGAAAAGCAAGAGGTACAACAATTTTCCTTGCCTTTCATATTTTTATTTTTTATTTTAAATTAAAGAAAAAATAATTGTAAATATGTATTTTTCCTATCAGAGTAGTAGTGACGTGCTTTTGAACAATTAATGCATTTTTTCAGAAAAGCTGCCTTACAAAAATATAGAATTAAATGGCTGTTTACTATCTCAAACTAAGGGGAACCCTATTTGAGTATATAGCAATAGTCATATTGATTATGACACTAAAGCCCTGATAAAACATAACAGCTATCAAAAATGAAATAAAAACTGAATTCCATCTTGCCAGGTTCCTTAGGGACAATTAAAGGTTTATGCCTATTGATTTAACACATACGAATGACGCTGCAAACAATGTATCTACTATTTAATTCTTAAAATGGTTTATAGCACATTTAAACTGATAAGACAAGCCTTATGGAAGCACTGCTGAGCTACTGGTTTCTTCAAAAACAACCAAGTTATAACGGTTATTTATATATCTGTACCATTAAGGAAATGTAGCTTCACAACCTGCCATCTTCATGTCCTGATGAAAACCCTGCCCTACTGGGGGTCCACATCCTTGAACCCAGCTGTTAAACTGGTATTAATAGACAAAGTTTAATAGAATTGTCCAAATATCTGTCAAATTCTAGCGTAAGGTTACGTTGCACCCCACAGGGGCAGGTTTTTTAATGAAGCTGAAACATCACCCAATAGTTACAGGACCTTTCCCCTCCATTTCCCCGGACTGGCCTGTAAAGTTCATTGATTTCCTCACAGGCACTTTGTATGCAAATCGTGCCGGGTATTGTCAGAGCATTTTATGCCACTACGTCTGCGTGTCCTGGGTAAACCTCACCGTTCACAGTTTGTGATGTTAACTGGCAGTCATAGACAGCATATAAAATAAATTTGTGTGCTTCGGAGGGCAACGGTTACCATTTTCCTCCTAAGAACCTTACTCCTCAAGCAAAATAATGTGAAACATAGTCCCGAGCAGTATTTTACAATAAGCCAAAAACGTGCTCTTGGTTAAAACCCAACCGGGGCCGTTTCCATTTCCATTCGCGACTCAGAACAAATAGAGCGAAGACAAAAACGTTACCACGTCCGCCGCGAATGAGGAAACTTCTGAACCCAGGTCCATGTTTCAGTGCGATAAACTTCTTACTCATACAAGGAAGAGGTTACTCTCCGAAACAACGAAAACGAAATTATTTCATCCCCGGCGTTCGGGGACAGTTCCTCACCGGGGCGAGCGCGGCGGGAGGGGCGAACCCCCCCGCAGGCAAGGAGGAAGGGAGGGAAGGAGGCGCTTCCCCGCCGAGCCCTCCCCCGGCAGGGTCGGCGCCCCCTCCCGCCACCCCGGGGATGCCCCGGCCCCGCGCGGCAGCGTTTCCTTCCCCGCGGCCCCTCCTCTTTGCTTAGTCACCGTGGAGACCCCCGAGGGAGGGGGTCGGGGCGGCCCGTGGCGCCCTCCCAGCGTCCCCGCCTAGCGCCGGGCGTTGTTCGGGCCCGCGGGGCGCTGCCAGAACGCGAGGCGGCGGTGGGAGCACGGCGTGGCCCCTCACGGCCGCGGCCCGAGTGCCGGTTGCTCCCGCTCCGGCCGCTACGGTACGGAGCGCCGCCGAGAGGCGCGGAGAAGGTCGGAGGGCCGGGACGCGGCAGGGGAGGCGGCCCCGCGGTGCCGGATGCGCGCGGGGCGGAGAGACGGCCGAAGGAGCCGGGCCTGCCCGGCCGACGGCCCTGCTCGGCGCTGTTACCTTCATCAGTCTCCTGCTGGCCGCCATCTTGGCTCTGCTACCGCGCCCCACAATGCATCGCGGCGCGGGCCGGCCCTGCGCTTCCTGCGGCGGCGCGCGCTGGGCGGGGCGGGGGCGGGACCTGCGCTCGGGTTCGGATCGGCTGAGCTCGGCCCGGCTCGGCTCCTGTTCGGCTGCACTCGGCTCCGTTCCGTTCGGGTTCGGCTACACTCGGCTCGGCTCGGCTTGGTGCGGGCTCGGCTCCGGGAGGCTCTGCGGTCCTCAGCGGTGCCTTTTGTCTGACTGCGGTTTTAATCATCGATCACTGCTCTGAAGTGCTGCTGTGCCTTATTCTGTGTACTGCGCATCCGCCAAATCTTCGTCGGGGGGCGACAGACAACCACCTGTAGTCACAGGCTTTATCAAACAAGCCCCATGCCATACTCAGCCGTTCTCTGCCTTTATTTCGTAGTTTCTTCACATACTTAGTTTCTTCCCCCAGGAAGGACAGGGAAAGGCGTTTCCAGAAGGGGTATCTGACCACAGAACTACCCCCTGGCCCGCTGCACTCCCATGAAACCCACCCCGGCCTTACTGTGCCAACGCGGCCCAGCCTCGCCTCCTGCTCCCAGCCGGCAAGTGCTCATCTGCCATCTCTGGGAAAAAAGAGCTGTGGAAGGGGAGAAAGTGTCACTGTCAGGATTAATCAGGACTGTAATTTGCCGTGTGCTTTTTAGCCCTTTCATGGAGCTCTAACTGTAGCTGCCCCCAGCTCTGACCCTCCCCAGTTGTGGAGCTGTTCAGTGTCAGTGCAGGTGCCCTTAGGTATCCAGGACACAGGGCTGGCAGGTATGACATAGGACATGAGGTACTAGATCACATCTAAAACACCACCAGATATCAGTGTCCAGGCAAATGACTTGCTCCTCAAAACATTCCCCATTGACCCAGTGTGCTCAGGAACTAGTGCAGGATCCACTCTGCTGGTGCATGTTCCTGATTCCCCTTTGCCCATTCCTTGTGTAAGTTCGTGTCCTCACTTGATCTGACACTTGTTCTACAGAACAAGTCATCAGAAAAAGTTCTAAGCTCTAAAATAAGCTTTACAGACTCGGACAACCTGAAAAAGGAAATGTTGCTGTTATTACAAAAGGCCCTCCAAAACGCAAGCAAAATTAAGTCAGAGGAAACTGAAAGAGGCAGACCCTCCTGGGGAAGTAGCAGAGAGATGCAAAGTGAGCCTATATGCTGACTGGGTGGAGAAGTTACTCACATGCCAGGCAGGCACACGTTGTATGAAAACAGGATCTGCAGAGACTCTCTGAGGATTCTTGATGCGCTGCTGAAGTGGCACGCTGGTGGTGAAGATTTAAAAATGCTGACATGTGATACAAGAGCTCATCCAGATTCTATGACTGTGAAATGTACAAACACTTAAATCTGGTACCACAGTAACTTGGAAGAAACGTTCTTACATCTGAGTTTCCAGATGTCTACAAATATGAAAAACAAGCTGCTTCAAATACTATCTTGGTTTCTTTATTTGCCAAAATTCTATTTATATCTTCAGCTTGTCTTTATTTGACTGCATAATTTTCCAAGTCTACTATATGTCTCCATGTATTCTCTAAACATTTTTTCTCCAAAATACAGTTATTCTGACCCTCGTCTATACCTACACTGAGGCACAGAGCCACCAAACACCAGAGACAGTAGCACCACAGGGAATTCTGAAATTACGATCTGTAGTTCTAATTCACAAATTTATAGCTTGTAAGAGAGTGTCAGAAGTAGCTGGGATAGTTAGAAGATAATCTGCATTTCCTTTAACAAGACAAAAATACCATCCACACCACAACTAACAATAGCCCAACCAGTTCCTAAGAAATCTAACTGTCCTCACAAATTGACACTTAATGATGAAATCTTGTATTACAACAAAGTGTTTGAGAAGTTTACATAGAATTAGGCAGATTTCACATACCTTTTGCCAATATCCTGGATCCTTTCAGTGTCCAGTATTAGGCTGGATCCAGAGCAGATCCAAAGGTGCCATCACCGATGCACATCTTGTGGATGACCAAGGGCTGTACAGCCATACCACAAGTGCTGATCCCACCTGGATGCTGGTTACCTACAGTCAGGACTTGCTGTTGTACAGTTCTGGAGAAGTGGAAGGAATTTTGTTCAGACAAAATTCCACAAATTATGTCTTGTACTGTTCTGTCAACAATAAACCCGGGCCATTTGTTATATTGTTTTTGTAGACAGTTCTGCATTTTTTAACTTGCTTTTTGGTGTGGTTTCCACATTGTGCCCATTATTTTACTTGACAATAAAGAGTGTCTAGAATGCAGGTTTTAGTGCTATCTGTGATATCTTCAAGAGACTGGACACTATATGTATGCCTGCTCAATGCCAAAGATTATTTTCTATCACGTTTCCACTGTTTTAAGCAACATAACTGTTCCACTTCTGAAAGAGAAATTGTGTAAACAGACTTTGTGAACGGGTGAGCCACAAAAGAGCCCAACTCCTGAAAACTAAAGAAAAAAATATTCTTTTTTCTTTGCTGTTTTGAAAAGACCATCTGAAAGAAAACAAAAAAACCTCATGAAAACTGAAGAGGAGGTGAAAAGAATAAGAATAATTTGGGGTTTGTATGAAACCTTAGTACCCCCACATTGTGCTTAGAAGAGGGACAGGTTGATGCACTTCAAGAGGAGCATAACAGAATCGGGGAAGGTAAAGAGAAGGGCAGACATGAGGATCAAAGGAGTGGAATAGTGATGTACTAAGAAAGAGTAAAATGGCTGGGGCTCTTCCAACTGCAGAGAAGGAGGGTGAGAAGGCATGTTCAGGGCTTACAAAACCATAAAGGCAGTGGCTAAGGTGAATATAAGGTGTTATTTATCAGACTGGAACGAAGGTGCACACAGGGAGACATTGGGCATTGCTAACAGCCAAAAGATGGTGCCTTTTCTCACAGCAGGTAATTAGCATTTGAACCTCCCTACCACAGGCAAAGCAACCACCAGCATAGGTAAAGGCAACCATCAGCAGGTTCAAAAAGAAACTAGTCAAACTGGGTAACAGCTCTATAAACAGATTAAAAAAGAAAAGAGTCATGGAACCTAACATCTGCAGTTTATGTCTAACCATAATCATGGCTGCATGGGAGTATGAGATGACGGACTGTTGGCTTGCATGGTGATTCCTGAGTAAAACATCCTCTACTGCCACAGACAGGGATAGAACAATGGGCTAGATGGACCTCTGTTCTGGTCCAGTGGGACACTCCTTACATTCAGGATACCTTGGAAATGATAGTTTGCAGAATATAGATAGAATTCAAATTTCTAACAAATTCCAATACCTTCAAAACACATCAAAGGGACATACTTGCAACCCACAAGGGCTCAATTTATATCTAGGAGGGGAAAAACAAAAACAAACCCACAAAAACAACAAAAAAAGACAAAGATAAGATAAAAAAATAATCAATGACTTAAATCATTATACAGCTCTCCATTGGAATCGTTAATTCTGAAATAGTTGGTGGGAAAAAGAAAAATAAGACATAATTAATTTATTTTTTTGTTGACAATCCTCCATCCTTTATTCCTAGCCAACAAATCGGTTTTATGTGAGTTTTCTTTTTGCTTCGGTCTCTTAGATCTTTAATGACAAACATTTTAAAGCAACTAATTGTGTATGATGACTGTCATCTGACATTTGTTCTGTCTGTTAAGTATTCATTATAGAATTATAAACTCATTGTCTTCCTCCTGCATTTTATATTGCCATGAGTGTTATTAAAGTGATTCTGTCCTATACAGACCCTTTTCCTCTTGAATGCAATATTTCTTAACTGTTTATAAAAAACTAAATATACTGTCCCCTTTGTTCCTGGAAAGTGGTTATAGAGATGGAGAGGAGAATGTACAAAGTATCACAACAGTGATACCATGAACTTTACAGTGCAAGTATGTGAGCTTTCTATTCATGCTGCATTAACTTCTATCAGCCTGAACCAGAGGGAGGGTCGCATGGTGCTAGAATCTCTGAACATCACATTGAAAAAGACTGCTTCTCCCTGAAAAAACCCTGAGAAGCCAGTGGTGCACCTGTCTCAGAATAACCCAGGAGACAGGACAACTGATAACTGTGTGCCTTTTCTTGGAAGACCATTTTACTGCGTGTTACAGCACGTATCTTGGGGCCTTCTCTGAATGTGGGGCCCAGGCAAGTCCCAGTGCCTGGGAAGATGCTCCCCTGCCCTGGTGGTGGGGTTTTAGGTACCCTACTGAGTTACAACTCAGGAGACAGTAGCAAACTCCTGTCTCTGGACATCGTTACAGTACCAGCCCAAGAGGATTGGGAAGTGATGCCATTATTTTTATGTTGGGCACATGGGGGAAATTCACTGGAGCAGCCAACACTGCTCCACCTCCATAGACAGCCCTGTGGCTCTGGGATCTTGATTTGTGGGTGTGAAAAGTCCTTCCAGAATACTTGGAGGCCGAACAAAGACAAGGAACCTTCTGAGATGGGAAGAGCTAGAGTTAGTTGTCACGAGAAAAGAAAATACAGTGTGGTAAGTGCTAAAAGCTTTGTTCTTCTCTTGTCCTGTGCTCTGTGCTCAGTAATGGGTCAGCTCCAGAAATTTCCTGGGGACCTTGGAAAATGATCCCTGGTGCTCTGAAAAGTGGGATAATCCCACTGGCAAAATACAGCTGCGGGGGAAGGAGAGGGGGCCAAAAAAAGCAGGTGTTTGGGAATTAAGGTGGAAGAACTTACTCTGAAAGTGTTTGATTTGCTTCTTCATCCCTCAGAGTTTCCATGATATTTGGTATGGAATCCCTCAGAGGGGCTTATCTCCACATAAGCTTGAATATCCCTGTAGGTTTCAGCTGGGGAAAAGTAGCTTGTGGTTCTATTTTTTTCCATCTGAAAGTTTAAAGTTTTTTTTAAAGTTTAGCTAAAATCTCAGCCAACTGATCTGTATTCAGACTTGATTACAGTCTAAAATCCTGTTTATAGTACAGTAGATAGGAGGGTTTATTTTGAAACCAATTTTATAACAACTTGTATTATTTCTGCATATCTACAACCGTGAGGA